TATGCGGGGAGGTTGGTGAAATATTATAACTCACCCAGACAGAATGCGAGCATTTGGGGGCTCCCCCTATTTCGACCACTATACTCATGTACAGATCAGTCCCATCTACACATATATTGCAAGCAAACTGACCAGCCACAACCCACGCTTGAAGTTACTCTTCAACTCGTTCCCTTGCAGCCCTGAAGTGAGCCCAGGCTGCCAAAGGCATTGTGGCCTTAGGCGCCTATGCGCAACTGCTGGAGATGGATGGCCAGGCGATGCCGAGATTTCGGTTCGGAGGGTTTAAGACCCACGTAGGTATGGGTCAAAATTAAACCACCAGGGGACCGCCGGTTTTGGTCCATGTTTCCATTTACCAGGATTCCATTTTGGGTACATATTTTTGGCCCACGGCGACGTGTCCTTTTGGTGAAGGGAATCTGTGCACTTCCATTGGAAAGACTCTCAAGAAACGGAAGCTATCCCAGAATGGGAGATAACCAATTCGAAGATGGTGGGTCCAGATATCTTACATGCTTGCCTTTGGTTTCCTTGTAAATACTAAGCGAAAAGGATCCACATCTTTTGAAGCGCTATAGTTGGTCGTATGTGGGTTAAGGATAGGTTCGGTTTTTTGTTAGTGGTTATGTTTTAAATTGTGCAGGACAAGCGAGATTTACTGACGCAGTTCAGTTTATACACCCGATGCAATAGAAGGTGTTTACACATGGCCAATGATAGTTTCGTTGCTGTTAGTGTTGGTGATGTTAGCGCTTCAAGGCAAAACTTTGCGGCAGGTGGACTTGTAGGAAAAAGCAAACACTGAGCCCATTAATGTATTAGGCAATATTTATACAAATGCAGATGTTAATTGTGATAATGTTTATTAACAATTGATACAAACTATGAAATATACAGATATGGTAGCGCTTATTCATTTTTTAATGACAAATACTGATGCTAATTCTTCAATTAGGTTCATTGGTGGAGACCCTGCTGTGCAATCTAACATCGTTGGAGCAGTTTATATTTCTACCGGATGGACTTTTAATACTGCAACAGTTGATGTTGTGGGACAATTATTTGTTGACGATGTTTATATTAAAACTGGTGGAGCATTAGGAAGTACTCACATAGCGCCTAACGGTGGTGTACTCGTAGCTGTTGATACTAATCTACGAGTTCAACATGCCTATTTAGAAACTAGTACCATTCGATCAATTGATTTAACAATGTTTTCAATTTTAGACATGTTTCAATGACTACTGGTACAGATTTATTTGATGATGGGAACAAATGAACTATTAACTTATTGTGATGGAACTAACTTATCTACAATTCATGTATCATTCGGAGCAACAAACACAGCATTTAGAGTGGCGGATAGTTCAACTGCACCTTCGGTGTTATTCTCCATTGATAATATGTTTGGAACAACTGTAAATACTGGAAGTTTTACACTTAATGCCTCATCAACATTTAATACAAATGTAACTGTTGCTGGAACGAGGAAATTGTTATGTAATGCACTTGAACCAGCAACAGAAGCAAAGACTGATTTAACGGCAACGACAGTAACCATTAACGGAACGTTTGTTGATTCAAGCGACTCAAGGTTGAAATATGACATAGACAATATCAAGTCTAACTGTATGAACGTTATTCATAAATTTAAACCGAAGAAGTTTAAAAGACACCATAGAAATGATGGTGGTAAAACTCATTCAGGTTATATAGCAGACGAGGTATTAAAAGCAATTCCGAACGAGTGCGAAAATATTGTGTGTATTTGTGTGTAAAAAGAAATCGTATTTAGGATTGAATTATTTTGTTTGGCCTGTATTGTTTCATAAGGCAGGTATTAGAATTAAAGGAAACGTTGAGAAAATTGTAGAAACCACACAACGGAAGTGAACACATTAAAGATATGTTCTTTGAAAATATGATTAATGGAATAGATAAAATATGCTCTCTTATTAGTTTATATATAGTGGGTATCGTCCAATTTAGAATGGATGAACATGACAGTATGGAACACATCAATAATTTGAGAGTAGATGCAAAGACCCGAGCAGATACTTGAACAGTTTAATCTATGCAATAATGTGTGGTAAGGATTGAGAAATGTGGAAATTAAGAACCGGACACATTAATGTATGCCGTACTAAAGCTACAGTTTTGGAATGCTTCGTTGATGTAGATAGATAACATTAAGCCTATGGCTTAATGCTATTGAATAGGTATTCTTAAACATTGTAGCTGTTTACGAACCATTTTATCAATATGATTCTCGAACAGGTTCATGTACAGAAACATATTATATGGTGCGTCAGTATCAATCTCATATAAGTGTCTTGCTTTCTTGTAAGGTGTTTCTTCTATCAATTGCTGATAGTTCGTCTAAATTTAGTTAAAGTTTCTCACTTTCTAAAACAACGCGTGAGTTGCATTTACTCTAATTCATGGTTTTAGTGTATTGGGTTTCTGAATACTTGTTATTACTGATATACCACTATGGTGTCCTCTTACATATAATGACTTTTACAGCTGTTTATGTCTTGCCACCTTAGGGTCATCACTTATATCATCCCAAAAAACAATTTTGAAAACATGTTTCTTAGTTTGTTTATTTTGCTATGTAAGTAAGGTTATTTTCATTATCCACTTTCATTGCTTCTTTTATATATTCTAACAGGCAACCACACACTATCACCATGTATTGAAGGAGACCAAATGTAGATTCGTTCGAAGCAGTTTTGCATATATATCAGGCCCAATAAACATATTTAGACAATAATTATGTCTCATATTGTATGAACTATCAAAAAAAGATAGGGATATCATACATGGAACAGATGTTTATCATTCACATTCAGAAACAATGTGAAGTAGTTAGTTTGTAGTCCCGTTGCCTTCCCCAAGTGTTCTCACATGCATTAGTTAATAGGATTAACTTTATTCTTTGATTTTTAATATTTGATTATTTAATATGGAGAGAAGCTAGTCGTATTATATTGATTCAATAGATGAAGTAGCGAAAGTTGAGCAAGTTGCAATAACCAATAGTCAATGTAAGAAAGTCTGTGATTTTGTTTTGGAGTTAAAAAAAGTTAGGAATGCAATGTATCAAACATCAAGATGTGCAATATTATATTTAGACATACAAAAGAAGTAAACTGCAAATGCTCACGCGTTCCAACAGGGTTCAAAATAGTAAACAGGACAAGAAAATGAGTAGCGAAACAACTAAAGATGGATATTAACCTTGAGACAGACGTACATAATATAACTTTTAATTGGGGGCGTGACGTGTCAGCAAGAGAATACAGTGAAACAGTCGATTGATGGAACATACTTTATAAAGAGTAGATGTTACATACATTAAGCATGTTGTTTGAAACATTTGCTTGATAATAGATGATATATGGAGAAACATTTAGAGAGCAATGACACAACTTTAGATATGTTGTTTTTAAAATTAGAAAAGCTGGCAGAACAGAATAAAAGCACAATGAAAGCCTTGGAGAACTTTAATAATAAACCTACATATAACAATACCAATTATCAACCAAACAATGCTGATAGAGACTATGGCGAATACAAGAACAAGAGACACATTTATGTTAAATGACTTACTGAACAAGCCGTTAAAGAACCTAAACAAAATAGTCCGTCCGGAATATTATCAAAGTTAAGTAGGCGAAGATACCAAGACATATTTCTGCTCCTTCACTAAAAGCACGTGGCGAAGAAGGGGCTTTGACAACTCTTCCACCCCGTAAGGCTTATTACCCTGAATATCATATTCAAATTTATCAACATTGAATATTGTATTACTCCATTTTGAGTGATACTCTTTTCTGTCGGTGTAACTACCCCTTTTCTTTGGAAACACTTTTACTTTATCGTTCTCCTCTATTCCGGGATACTTTCTTTTGTTCTTTGCCCTCAGTTTGAGATTGACTTTTACATGTACCTCGTTGTGGTCCTTGCGCGCTTCTGTCGGTGTCATCTTTGTTGATGAGCGCAATGTGTTGTTATACTGTTTCAATGCTGGTGTTAAGGCGTCAGTCCATTTCATCTTCTTAAACCTAACTCCATCGTGAATTTTGTTGATTCATGGTTTTGATGAAACGCTTGGCTGCGTTTGGGTGGGTCTTCGTGATGATGTGGTTGATGCCCTCACTGTTGAAGAAATCCTGAACTTGGCTTTTAGTTGCAAACGCGCCATCGTCGTTGGAATATACACTCATACAATAGCCCATTCTTTTGACACTGTCTCTCAGTGCTTTCTCAACACTTTCACCATTTGGATTTGACATAGGCTCTACATCCTCTAGTTTCTGAAGACGTCAATCACCACTATAGCAGACTGTGGAGCATGTTTATCTTTTGCTAATGGTGTCATGTGCATTATGTCTCTTTGATATTCATATAGAGCAAAAGGAGCAGTAAAGAAATTAGTCCCTCTACAGGCATCCAGTGCTATTTATGGGTCTTGTTCTTTCGCCTTCTTGTGTGTTGCTTGGATAATGCCATATCCTGTGTCATTGTACTAGACATTGCTTATCACCTCGTCGTCTACTGGCCATTATATTATTTGATAGAGAATATGTCGCCATCATAAACCCCCAGCCCCTGAACCAATAAAACACTACTTAAAGCGACAAACATATATATATATATATGTGTGTATATATATATGGTGCCCCCCCCCCCTGGAATACTCATATGTATATATATATATATATGCATATTTTAAGATAATGCTGCTTGAAAACACTGTAGATGTCACAGGAAAGAAATGACACATGTTAAGGTCTTGTTACACAACCTGTTTCCCACGGGGATGTGCGATATGATACGTGATTACAACCTACATTGTTCAATATGTCAAGACCTACGCCGGAAGGAAACGGAGTTTTTGAAATAATAATATTGTAGCAAATATACTAACAAAACCAGAGCGATCTTCAAAGAGTGCATGAAGTCGCCTATTTTCTTAACAGAAACGAGCAAGTTAAACCTACTAACTTTCAAGAGAGAACTTGACCAAGTGTTAGACAATGAACAATTTAAACAAGAGTTTAATAAAATTCACATTTTTATTTCAGCCGTCAAGTCGTTTGTAAAGAGATACTGGAAACATGCCACATTTTAGATCGCTTCCATTGGTTTGTTGACATGAAGCAAAGCATCGAGTTACGGTGTTGGTGGATGGTTGGTCGGTTCATGGATGGCAAGGAACGCACTTATCTTTTTAAAGAGTTTAAGGTAAAACAAAGCAGAGATCATATTATTGCAGCATTAATTAGTGAATATAAAGAATTCTGCGATGAAGACGGAATAAGAACATCTAGTATCAAGCCACACATTCTAATTGAACAGAGAGGTTGGCGTGTTGAGCGAGAGCCTGAAACCCAGACCACCCGACCAGCAACCCCCAGACCAAAACTACTTAAAGGGAAAACGCCTTATATAGTAAGAGAAGATGAGGGTAAATTGTCAGAGAATAGTTTTGTGGTTGAGAATTGGACTAACTTACCTGAGAGGGTTTAGCTTCAAGCATCACTTCTAGCATTGTTGGTTGCGAAGGGTGGGGTAGACTGAAACAATGTGATGTTTTAAGAGACTTACAAGGGAATCGGAAGCCTTCAATTAGCAATGATGTTGTTGGACAGCGTAAAACTCCGGAACTGTCAATGACAAAGTATAACCACGAGATACACAACAAGCAATTGAACGGAGATAAGGCGTTGTCATTCGCATTGAACCCATCAGAAAAAAACTCATGGAACAAATGAGCAGTGCTGATGAAGTAGAGATTGAAATGTATGTTAGAGCAACATTTGAATATGACACTGGCATCGGAACATGTAATTGTGTATCCGAATGAGGGGAACACAGATTTATTTTGTTTTAAAGCAACCCACAACAGCACTCCCCCAGGGCCCTTTGTTTTGCCAGCGTATCCGCCCCTTTTTTCGAGCCGTGAACATGGAAGGCATCAGAAGCACAGAAGTACCTGGCAAAGGCTGAGGCGGGTTCGGGACTGGAAGGAAGTCGCTTTTGTATATATTATGGACGATGGGTATTTGGCCAAATAGGGAGACCCGCCATTAAATCAAACTTAAGGTTGTTTGTTGGCTTCCTCACTACAAATGCTCCAAGGCGAAGAAAGGGTTCCCTTTCTGTACAAGGGTCACAGAACCGGGAGAATGGGAGATAGACTATGACAGCCGCGCATATTTTTCTCGTCACGGCCTGCGAGACGTGATCATTGGCGAGTCCCTGAGGTTCCATTTTCGCTCTAGATGTGGGTATGGAATCGGACCGCAGGTTTTGGTCCATTTACCTGGGTGCCGTTTTGGGTGCCTATTTGTGTTGACCCACAGCCATGTTGCCTAGCAGGTGGCCGGCGCTGCGAAGGGTCCTGGATGCCATCCTCCTGTGATTGGGTTTCGCTTCCTTCTTGTCGGGTAGAGCTTCTGATGCTGCGTTTGGCGTCAGGGCTTCGCGGCGAGTTGGGAGGAGAAGGCCAAAGATGGCGGCCCAGATGCAAGGCAGCCATTCCAATTTGTTGAGTGTTTTTACACGGCAAACTAATCCATGATATGTTGTCCTAGCTATGTTTGCCGTGACCCACGGACATACAGTGAGTCGTTCGAGTAGGGATGCTTGTGTCCTATGCAGGCGATTGGGTATGCTTTGGGTAAGAACTTGATGCTGGTCAATGTTGTCCCAAGGTGTAAATCGAAACTGCCTAGCGCGTAGCTGGCGAGTAGCCTTAGTGAAGCGAATCACTTCCTTCCCTGAAAATCTGTGGATGGCACTTTCAGTCAGCAATCTGACTTTGCCTCGTGGCTTTCAGCCTATCAGAACTTCAAGGGCTCCGAACCCGCCATCCAGGTGACCACTTTCGACGGCAGTATGACTTGCCCAATACCTGGTCACAGATGCGTGGCAAGCACCATGGACGGGCGCCTTTTCGGAGTTTTTTTCAACTGTTGTTTTTTTCAATCAACTGTTGTTTTTTCAACTGGGATGTGATTGTGGTTCTGTGTACCGTTGTTCGGGGTTGTTTTAGCGGAAGTGACAAAGATCCACCCATTTGGTGGCGTCCACTGTGAGACACTTTTTTCGATATGTGTTTGCATATTTAAGGGCTGCCGCCCAGTGCCGCCGACCCCTCCGCTGGGGGGCCAGCCCAGGTTTTGTTTGTTCTGTCAGCGGCTTTTGGCTGGTTCAGGCTTGCTGGCTTGCTTGCTTGCTCGCTTGCTTGCTTGTTTGCTTGTTTTCAGCGCTTTTCCAGGCCGCACTCGTTTGCCCACAGCGAGCACCAACCAAAGGAGTGCTATATAGAAAGTAGACAGCTATCGGTCCCCAGGGCGCAACCAGCAAGAACAGCTTCGCGTCCAGCGCGCTTGGAGGCCGCACTCGCTTCGCTGCAGCGAGCACGAACCAAAGGAGTGCGCCGGCAGCCTGCTCCGCCGCGGCCGAGTGCCTAACGTCGCATTTGAGTCCAATATGCAGCAAAGCTATCGGTCCAGAGGGAGCGGCCAGCCACAAAAGCTTCGCTTCCCGCGCTTTTCCAGGCCGCACTCGTTTGTCCACAGCGAGCACCAACCAAAAGGAGTGCGCCGGCAGCAGAAAGGAAGAAAAGAGGCCGAACGGGCGGGCCGTGACAAAGCTTCAGCGCTGAAAACTGTGCCCTGCAGGTGCTGGAGCGCTTTTCCAGGCCGCACTCGTTTGCCCACAGCGAGCGCCAACCAAAGGAGTGCGCCGGCAGCCGATAGGAAGAAAAAAGGCCGAGCGGGTGGGTCTTCAGCGCGAAAAGCTGTGCCGAGCAGGTAGTTGAGCACGCTCGGCCTCCTCAGCTCAGGGGCAGTTGGTGTAGTGGCATCACACCCGCTCAGCACGCGAGAGGGGCCGGGTTCAATCCCCGGCCTGTGCATGCCCATGTGCGCCTGGGTTGGTCTTTCTCGCTTAGGGTTTGCTGTGCGTCTTGCCAAGGGCGGCTGCTGCGCCGCGGCCGGGTGCCGAACGTCACTTTTGAATCCTATATATAGAAATAGTATTAGTTAGAAATAGTATTAGTAGAAAGTATAGAAAGTATAGAAAGTAGAAAGCTATCGATCCCCAGGGCGCAAACCAGCAAGAACAGCTTCGCGTCCAGCGGCCTCTTTTCTTCCTATCTGCTGCCGGCGCGCTCCTTTGGTTGGTGCTCGCTGTGGGCAAACGAGTGCGGCCTGGAAAAGCGCTCAAGCACCTGCAGGGCACAGTTTTCAGCGCTGAAGCTCTGTCACGGCCCGCTCGTCCGGCCTTTTTGCTTCCTTTCTGCTGCCGGCGCACTCCTTTGGTTGGTTCTCGCTGTGGGCAAACGAGTGCGGGCCCGCCCGTTCGGCCTCTTTTCTTCCTTTCTGCTGCCGGCGCACTCCTTTGGTTTCTTTCCTTTTCCTTTCTGCTGCCGGCGCACTCCTTTGGTTGGTGAAACGAGTGCGGCCTGGAAAAGCGCGGGAAGCGACGCTTTTGTGGCTGGCCGCTCCCTCTGGACCGATAGCCTTGCTGCATATTGGACTCAAACGCGACGTTAGGCACCCGGCCGCGGCGGAGCAGGCTGCGAACGGGCTGGCCGTGACAGAGCTTCAGCGCTGAAAGCTGTGCCCAGCAGGTAGTTGAGCACTCTCGGCCTGCTCAGCTCAGGGGCAGTTGGTGTAGTGGCATCACACCCGCTCAGCATGCGAGAGGGGCCGGGTTCAATCCCCGGCCTGTCCATGCCCATGTGCGCCTGCGTCTGGCACCGTTTGCCTATCCCTGGCACGAACCAAAGGAGTGCGCCGGCAGCCTGCTCAATATGCAGCAAGGCTATCGGTCCAGAGGGAGCGGCCAGCCACAAAAGCTTCGCTTCCCGCGCTGGTCCAGGCCGCACTCGTTTGTCCACAGCGAGCACCAACCAAAAGGAGTGCGCCGGCAGCAGAAAGGAAGAAAAGAGGCCGAACGGGCAAGCCCGCACTTGTTTGCCCACAGCGAGCACCAACCAAAAGGAGTGCGCCGGCAGCAGAAAGGAAGAAAAGAGGCCGAACGGGCTGCGTGACAGAGCTTCAGCGCGGAAAGCTGTGCCCAGCAGGTACTTGAGCACTCTCGGCCTCGGCTCAGGACCAGTTGGTGTAGTGGCATCACACCCGCTCAGCATGCGAGAGGGGCCGGGTTCAATCCCCAGCCTGTCCATGCCCATGTGCGCCTGCGTTGGTCTTTCTCGCTTTGGGTTTGCTGTGCGTCTTGCCAAGGGCGGCTGCTGCGCCGCGGCCGGGTGCCGAACGTCACTTTTGAATCCTATATAGAAATAGTAGAAAGTATAGAAAGTATAGAAAGTAGAAAGCTATCGGTCCCCAGGGCGCAAACCTGGTGCTCGCTGTGGACAAACGAGTGCGGCCTGGAAAAGCGCGGGAAGCGAAGCTTTTGTGGCTGGCCGCTCCCTCTGGACCGATAGCCTTGCTGCATATTGGACTCAAACGCGACGTTAGGCGCCCGGCCGCGGCGGAGCAGGGCAGGTAGTTGAGCACTCTCGGCCTGCTCAGCTCAGGGGCAGTTGGTGACACCCGCTCAGCATGCGAGAGGGGCCGGGTTCAATCCCCGGCCTGTCCATGCCCATGTGCGCCTGCGTCTGTCACAGTTTGCCTCTCCCTGGTCTTTCATCCCTTTGGGTTTGCTGTGCGTCTTGCCAAGACCGGCTGGTGCGCCGCGGCCGGGTGCCGAACGTCACTTTTGAATCCTATATAGAAAGTAGAAAGCTATCGGTCCCCAGGGCGCGACCAGCAAGAACAGCTTCGCGTCCAGCGCGCTTGGAGGCCGCACTCGCTTCGCCGCAGCGAGCACGAACCAAAGGAGTGCGCCGGCAGCCTGCTCCGCCGCGGCCGGGTGCCTAACGTCGCGTTTGAGTCCAATATGCAGCAAGGCTATCGGTCCAGAGGGAGCGGCCAGCCACAAAAGCTTCGCTTCCCGCGCTTTTCCAGGCCGCACTCGTTTGTCTACAGCGAGCACCAACCAAAGGAGTGCGCCGGCAGCAGAAAGGAAAAGGAAAGAAAAGAAACGAAGAAGAACAAGAAAAAAGTGAAAGAAAGAAGGCTGGTAAGGTACAGGGCTGAACGGGCGAGGGCGAAAGGGAAGGGAGAAGGCTGCCACAGTCACGCTCCAACGCTAAACGAACACTCCCCCAGCGCCTTCCCCTTGCAGGCAGGGGGGTCGGCGGATTTGTTGAGTACCTGTGGAGGTGGAAAGGAACACCAAGAGGAGAACCACCCAGTTTTTGGCTTTCGGGCTTTCCTCAGATGGGTGTGGCTCAAAATTAAACAGTTCGGGGCAAACCGCAGGTTTTGGTCCATGTTTAACCACTTACCAGGGCCCATTTTGGTACAGCCTGGCCCAGGAAGTATAATCTGATCTGGCAGAAGTTACTTGGCCTCAGCTGCTTGGCCTCAGCTCGTCGCATGTCGTCGGAGTTCACTCGGAGGCACTCGGGTTTCTTAGCTCTCGTTTTTTTACACTTCTTCAGGTTTTAACTTGGTTCCCTACTATACTGATGGGTTTCACAGCTCTCGATTCTGCACTTCAAGGTTTTTGCTTGGTTACCTTTCCTTTTCTTGATGCACTGGGCGAAGTCTCACTGAAGGCCGTGTGTCAAAGTCTGCAACCAAGGCCTGTTCAAAGACTCGGTGCTGCGCCAAGAATGCGACTGATGGCACGTGCAAGCAGCGTTGAAAACATGAGAGTGGCCATTCAGAGGGGTGTGTGTGTGTGTGCGAAAGTTTTTAGGGTATTCTTCTATGGTGGCTTGAAGGGATGAAGCTAAGGTCTTTCAGCAAGAGTCTGCCGAATACGAGAAACATCGCTTCTCGCTCGGCATTGAGCTCCATGAGCTGAGGGAACTGTAGCTGGTTTCTATGTTTGGCGCTTTGGAGGCTGCTGGGCCGCTCAAACAAGAAAAGTTATTGCGTCGACAACGTCGATCGAAAGTGTGAAATATGTTGTTGCCTTCTGTTTGTTTTCTCTCCGTTTCGGGCAATGAGTCCCGATATGCCACAGCCAGCTTTTGACTCAGAATTCCGGCCGCAGAAGAAAGATGTTTTTTTCTTAGGGGTGCCCTACGCTTGGTTTCCTTTTGATACCAGAAGCGGTCCATTCTTCAAACACAAGCGGACATGGCTTGTTTTCGACTCAGCGAGTCACTGAGGTGAGGCTTACGGCATCCCCTTAGATGACCGCAACTTGGCATCGATGGGTTCTCCAAGTTAGGGACACTTCCTGGACCCCAACATATGGGTGTGGCTTTTTCGTAGAACCCGAGGAACCCCCCGTATTTTTTCGTGGCTTGAATTGGAAATCAAAAGGAACACCATTTTGAGGGGCACCCTCAAACAGACACGCCCATATGCAGAAACACCCATGTTGCGCTCCCGACGCTTTGCATGGGCGTTGGTCTTGCGGCGCGCGTGGCATGAAAGTCCCGATTCAGAGGTCGGTTCACAGATCGGTCCAGCAGTTCGGGCACGGTCCAAGGTCACAACTACACCAAGGCGGATTGGTCCATGTGGTCAGCTGCCTTCGGGTCAAAGGAGCGGCTTTCGATCAAGAGAGAAGCTGCTGGCTGGAAGGCTAGCTGAGAGGCATGTGGATATGCTTGGGTGGTTGAAAAAAGGTACCTTCGTTTCAAAGGACACCAAGAAGAAGCCCAGCAGTGTTGGTGTTGCCCTATTTTGACACATGACTTTTCCTGGCATTGACGATGTGATTGTTCAACGATCATTCCAGATGCTCAAGGGGAAGGAAACACTCCAAAAAAAATTCGTCACAGCAGACTGCGTAAATTATCTCGTTGTAGTCATGAATCAAGGTTTGCCCTGCCCCTTCGCTTGTGAACAGCCCCCTTTTTCTTCTGGCGAAGGAGACCTTCAAGGCTACAGTGGACAGCCTGTGGACCTTTGCGAACTCCACCCCAGACCGTGCTCCCTTTACGGTGCTCGAGGCTGCACTGAGACTGGAACCCAACTTCCATAAAACTGGTGGGTTCCTTTCTCTACACAAGAAGCAACCTTTAAAAGCCCTTAAAGTACGCCATAGACCCTGATAGCAAGAGCTGTATTTGGGTGTTCGAAACAGTAATTGGTACACATGGGAACTCTATGCACGGGTGCAGCCATAAAATTGAGTTATCAGACTAAACGAGTTTGAGTCCCGCTCAACAACACCCGCATGAGACCACAGCCCTGCTTTGGCTAAGAACTCGACTGTCGAACGAACAATGAGAATGCACCTTGCTTCCACGAAAAACGATGTGGCAAAGCCAAGATCACAGGAAAAGTCCCAAGTAGCGCAACTACAAAAACGTGTATATATATATACACACATATATTAATATATATATATATATTTAATATATAAAAAATATATATATATATATATGCGCGCTGACACCAAGCAAAGATGGCGAAATGCACTTTGATACAGAGAGTCGTCTTGTCTGGCACCAATCCAGCAAGCGAGACCTCCTTCGCTGCGTTTTGGTTCCCGCGCGCTCTGGAAGCCAGCGGCGGGCTCGAATCCTCCCTGGTCACTCCGGAAATCCAAAACAACGCCTGGTCGTTTCTGCGAGAGGCTGCCCGGAGTGCGCGGGATCATTCAGCGAGAACTCTGAGTACTTTGAGTTCCCAGAGTCCCATTGCCAAGACTGCCGCAGATGCCGCAGAGAGATTGCAGGCAAGGGAAAGGATTTCAGATTTCAAAATAGTGCAGATGGTGGCACCGAGAATTTGTGTAAATACTGTATTGCCCATTGCGCAGACAGATGTCACAGACAGGCGAAGACATTTGCAGCGAATTTGGCACAGAGCCGGAATCACAGGCACTGAGCCGAAACCCATTTGTGAACTTACCTTTGGTGCATTTTGCTTGGATGTTAGGACTTTAACTCTTTGCCAACTAATGGGTTTTCCCTTAGACCACTAAAATTTAAACTTTTAGCAGAGGAGCGCAAAGCAACCGAATTACGATACTTCTTGTCCGAGGAATGTTTCTTTTTCCGGAACAAGTTTCATCGAGAAACAGGCATTCGGCCTGCCACGCATTGAACGCTGCTGTTCTCTTTCTGGTGCCGTACTCCAAAACGATAAGAGCAGGTATTCTGCCTTATGACATCTACGGCGGTATTTGCCCGGGCATCGTACAACAAGAGACAAAGGTCTGCATACCACATATCGTGGCCCAACAGCAAGCTGCAGCACCCTGCGCAACTCTCGTATCATTCTGCTGTGTTCAACCTTGCAGCGCCCTGCAACAGCAAGTTGTGCAACGCTTTGCAGTGGTTAGAAGCCCTTGGTACCCTCACCTGCCTCGTGCCCGAGATAAAACTTTGGGTGCTGTGATTTCGCTAGAACTTGGAAGTCGGAAGCAGTTAGCTGCTAGCTGTCTTGCATGTCATGAACAGGCCGCAGTTGCGTCACTTCTTGTGTTGCCAGGGCAGAATTTCATATGTAAAGCTTTTTTTTTGAGGTTTAAGAAGTTCGGCACGTGCCCGGCCTAGGACTTTTTCGACACCATCACTGGTCGTTTGAAGCCGCTTGGTTCAACTTGAACTTTGGGACCTGGACTGCAGGGAGCGCGGTAGGGTTACGCAGTTTGGATCGTTGGCCCCATTTGCCAAGGTGCCATGTTGGCTCTCATGTTTTTGAGCCACGGCCATATGTCTTAATCATTCCTTTTGGAGGTGCAGACTTCAAGGCCACAAATCCTTGAACGGGCCGTTCTTGGACTGGGCTGAGGGGGTGGCCAATCAGTTCAGCTTGAGTGCGCTTGATGCCCACTCGGGCAGTGGATGGCAGAATATCAAGTCTCGATGATAGGCCCACCCGAAAACAACGGTTGGCCTTTTAGTTTCCCTTTAAACCAATTTGATCATGGTAGCCTCAGAAAACACACCCCAGGTTTTCTCAAGCAAGTTAATCCTACCGCTCCAACAAAGCAGCAGCAACACGTGCCTTGCATTCATTGTTCAAGACCCCAGCTTGCGACTTTTCCAACCATACCTCACAGAAGTGTTTGGAAGGTAGAGGACACAAAGATGTGTGTGCTGATGTGTTCCTTCCATATATGTCGGCAATTCCTGGCCTATCTTGTGGCGCTTTTGCCTCGCTCCCACTTGCTTAAAGCTCCAAGCCTTGCAAGTCACATGTGTTTTTTCTCGGAGAAGATGTGGATTGCACAAGCCAAGTCTCAGCATCATTGGCCGAAGTTTGTTTCCCAAACCTCTCCGGAAGTCGTCCGGAACTTCCCCTCTCAAAGCCTTCAACCTGCACAACAGCCAGGAGGTTCTAGTGTCACTCTTGTCACTCTCAGAAAAGGGGCGTTTCCTCAAAGCACAGCTTTTCATCCACCAGCCTTGCATGCACAGATCCAGATTGATTTGTTCTTGAAGCCAAATGCTAGCCTGCTGAAGGCAAAACGTAGTGTAGCCGGGCGGGGGTTCATCTGTGCACGTGGTTGGGCGGTCATTTGTGCACGTGTCCAACTGGTCATTTGTACACGTGTCATGTTCAGAATCCATGGTAATCACCGGCAAATCGGCCCGGTCATTTGTGCACGGGCTAACAATAAAGGGAGAAGCCGGAAGGGCGTTCGGGTTTCCAGACAGCCCCATCCCCCCCCATCGTGCGTGAGTTGGAATCCCCCCCACCCCGCTTCCCACCGACGCTTACCATCCACCCACCCCCATCCCCCCTCCGTGGCAGGGAATAATGCGATGATCTGCACGAAAAAAGGGATAGCAGCGTCGCACAGATTTGCACGGTCAGGTCAATCCAGAAACTTAAGTCCAATTCAACGTCTTTTACAATCTATTTTAGCGTGTCTCATGTTTAATTGTATTTCTCAGCTCTCGGTGTTTCGCTTTCCTCAAGGAAGGACGGGCTGAGGAATCTCCATGTCTTATTTCTCTCCCCTTCTCGCTTCCCTTTATCACCCCAACTCTTTTTTCTCGGAAGCAGAGGTCGGGCGATGGGAGGTAGAGAGAGGAGAGAAGGGCGAGAGAGGAAAGGAATAACTGATTGGCCATAAAAAAAAAAACTCACATCACTTTCATTGGCTGGGAAATGGATGAGGATGGTAAAAGATATTCTTGGAAAATGAAGATATGCCAAGTTAATTGGCGAAAGGGGGGATGACCAAAATGGCCTTCTGACCTTTCGATCTCTTGCCTACATCAGACTCTCTCTGTCATCTCTATCACTCACTCACTTCTCAGAGATACCTTCTGCAGTTTAATTGGCCAGCGACAACCTCTATCTTACCACCCTCTTCTCCTTTCATGTCTATTCCTCACCACCTGCAGCTTCCTTGATCTTGAGATGGAGGTGGGGGGCGGGGCAAGAGATGAGAGAGAATGGAAGGAGATGGATGGCCCTCCAACCACCTCGTTTGCCTTTAGTCACGTCTTCGAATCCAGAATGTCTTTCATGTCAGCTGTGTTCTTTCTTCATTCTAATTCCCTTTCCAGCTAGACGATCTGGAATGTCTCTATTATTGTCCCAGCTCTTGGTGTAACCGTTTGCTCTCTATCTCTTCCCCAATCATCTGTACCTGTCATCCTCATTCTCTTTTCGTACTCGTGGGAGTGACATAAGAGGCAAATAGAAAGGAGAAGGGGAATGCAAGAGATGGAAAGCATCTCTGCTTTGTATCTGATAGAATTTGGAAATGCTTTTGTGATAATAGCATCTCTGTCCCTTCTCTCTTCCTTGCTTGTCCTGCCTCTTCGCTCACTTCTTCACTCAGCATCACCTGCAAGCGAGGCGGGTGATGGAAGAGAGTGGGTGGGAAGTGGCACTCACCTTATCATCTTTTCCCTCCCATCCTATTTCCTCCCTCCTCCACATCCAAGATTTAGAAGATAGCGATGCTGGGGGACGGGTAAGGAGAGGTAAAGAGAAAATATAATGTGAGTGTGATGACGGTCCCTTTCAGTAGCCTTCATATGACCGCCCTCCATTGGGAAGGTGGGTGAGGGAAGAGGGAGGGTGGGAAGGGTGGGTGTGACGCTCACCTTTTCTCCCTTTCCCTCTTATCCTCTCCCCTCCCTCATCCACAACCAAGATTTAGAAAGAGAGGAAAAAGGGGAGATAATGTGAGGGTGATGAGCCGTCATATGACCGCCCTCCATCTCTTTCTCTCGCTCTCTGCAGTTCTTTACCTGGCACGCGATCCCAAGAGCCCACAGGTGGTGGAGAGAGACATTCTCTTAATTCTGGAATATTGGCGAGGGTTCTATGTGAGCAAAAGAAATGTAATCCCTTCTCCCTCTCTATCACCAACATCTCCTTTCCCTGAATCGTGTCGCAGAATTCAGAGTGTCTTTCATGCGATCTGGGTTCTTCATTCTAATTATCTTGCCTATCTTTTCATCCATGCTCCTTTCCTTTTCAAGTTGTTGCAACGGTGAGAATGGAAAGGAGAAAGGAAATAGATGACGAGAGAGATAGGAAGGTGATTGGGTGGGAGGTGACCTCTTTCCCAATCTGTTGCTTTGGGAACGGGGGTCAAGAGAAGGGAAGTGAATGAAATCTAGACGAGCTGGAGCGTCCTTGTTATCCCAGCTCTTGGTCTTTTAATTCTGGAATATTGGCGAGGGTTCTATGCGAGAGAAAGGAGTGCAATCCCTTCCCCTTTTCTATCACCAACATCTCCTTTCCTTCAGTCCTTTGGCCAAGTCGTAGAACCCAGGATCTTGTTCCTGCCATCTGGGTTCTTCATTATAGTTCTCTTTCCTAGCCTTCTCCTTTCCTAGGCGTTGTTATGGTGAGAACGGAAAGGAGAAAGGAGAGAAATGACCATCTAGAATTTTAACAATTCTAAATTTCGGTCCCACATTTAGAAGTTCTTAAAAAGTCTAAAGTTCGGGTCTCTGATTGGCCAGCACACATCCCCTCACCTCACTTTCATTGGCTGGGAAATGGATGAGGATGGAAAAGATATTCTTGGAAAGTGAAGATATGCCAAGTTAATTGGCGAAAGGGGGGATGACCAAGATGGCCTTCTGACCTTTCGATCTCTTGCCTACATCAGACTCTCTCTGTCATCTCTATCACTCACTCACTTCTCAGAGATACCTTCTGCAGTTTAATTGGCCAGCGGCAACCTCTATCTTACCACCCTCTTCTCCTTTCATGTCTATTCCTCACCACCTGCAGCTTCCTTGATCTTGACATGGAGGTGGGGGGCGGGGCAAGAGATGAGAGAGAATGGAAGGAGATGGATGGCCCTCCAACCACCTCGTTTGCCTTTAGTCATGTCTTAGAATCCAGAATGTCTTTCATGTCAGCTGGGTTCTTTCTTCATTCTAATTCCCTTCCAGCTAGACGATCTGGAATGTCTCTATTATTGTCCCAGCTCTTGGTGTAACCGTTTGCTCTCTATCTCTTCCCCAATCATCTGTACCTGTCATCCTCATTCTCTTTTCGTAATCGTGGGAGTGACATAAGAGGCAAATAGAAAGGAGAAGGGGAATGCAAGAGATGGAAAGCATCTCTGCTTTGTATCTGATAGAATTTGGAAATGCTTTTGTGATAATAGCATCTCTGTCCCTTCTCTCTTCCTTGCTTGTCCTGCCTCTTCGCTCACTTCTTCACTCAGCATCACCTGCAAGCGAGGCGGGTGATGGAAGAGAGTGGGTGGGAAGTGGCACTCACCTTATCATCTTTTCCCTCCCATCCTATTTCCTCCCTCCTCCACATCCAAGATTTAGAAGATAGCGATGCTGGGGGACGGGTAAGGAGAGGTAAAGAGAAAATATAATGTGAGTGTGATGACGGTCCCTTTCAGTAGCCTTCATATGACCGCCCTCCATTGGGAAGGTGGGTGAGGGAAGAGGGAGGGTGGGAAGGGTGGGTGTGACGCTCACCTTTTCTCCCTTTCCCTCTCATATGACCGCCCTCCGTCTCTTTCTCTCGCTCTCTGCAGTCCTTTACCTGGCACGCGATCCCAAGAGCCCACAGGTGGTGGAGAGAGACATTCCCCCTTCCCTTGCCATCTCTTAATTCTGGAATATTGGCGAGGGTTCTATGTGAGCAAAAGAAATGTAATCCCTTCTCCCTCTCTATCACCAACATCTCCTTTCCCTGAATCATGTCGCAGAATTCAGAGTGTCTTTCATGTGATCTGGGTTCTTCATTATAATTATCTTTCCTATCTTTTGATCCATGCTCCTTTCCTTTTCAAGTTGTTGCAACGGTATGGAAAGGAGAAAGGAAATAGATGACGAGAGAGATAGGAAGGTGATTGGGTGGGAGCTGACCTCTTTCCCAATCTGTTGCTTTGGGAACGGGGGTCAAGAGAAGGGAAGTGAATGAAAGCTAGACGAGCTGGAGCGTCCTTGTTATCCCAGCTCTTGGTCTTTTAATTCTGGAATATTGGCGAGGGTTCTATGCGAGAGAAAGGAGTGCAATCCCTTCCCCTTCTCTATCACCAACATCTCCTTTCCTTCAGTCCTTTGGCCAAGTCGTAGAACCCAGGATCTTGTTCGTGCCATCTGGGTTCTTCATTATAGTTCTCTTTCCTAGCCTTCTCCTTTCCTAGGCGTTGTTATGGTGAGAACGGAAAGGAGAAAGGAAATAAATGACCATCTAGAATTTTAACAATTCTAAATTTCGGTCCCACTTTTAGAAGTTCTTAAAAAGTCTAAAGTTCGGGTCTCTGATTGGCCATCACACATCCCCTCACCTCACTTTCATTGGCTGGGAAATGGATGAGGATGGTAAAAGATATTCTTGGAAAGTAAAAAATCTAAACATCAAGCGTCCTGGCTGGGCCCCTCCTGGGCTGGAACCTTCTGCACTTCTAAGAATTCCAAACTTCGGGGGTCCGGTTTTTGGAATTGTTGTAGAATATTTTGAATTGAATTCCCACAAAACTAGAAATTCTAAATTGTGGGGGTCCTTTTTTTTCAACAGGTTTTGAGAATTTCGAGAATTCAATTCTAAGCACTCCACAAGTTCTTCAAACTTAAAACAATCTAAAAATCCAGGGCCCTGGCCCGGCCTTTTTTGGGCTGGGACCATCTGGAACTCTAAAAGTTCTAAACAGTCTAAATTCCGGGGTCCGATTTTTAGAACTTTTAGATTGTGTTTCCAAAAGCCCTTCCAAAAGATCTCAACATTTTAACAACTTTCAAAAACCAGGGTCCTGGCTGGGCCCCTCCTGGGCTGGGACCTTCTAGAACTCTAAAAATATCTACAGATTCTAAGTTTCTTGGGACCGATTTTTGGAGTTTAGAATTCAATTTTCAATCATGTAACAGTTCTAAAAATGAAGGGTCCTGGCTGGGCCTTTCCTGTGCTGGGACCATCTAGACTTCTACAAAATTCTGCAAGTTAAGACATGGTTATCAAAAGGCGACTGGCCCGTTCACATTAGTTCCCTCTCGCACATTTCCCCCCCCCTTATGGTGCGACTTGGTTCGCGTGAACATCCAAGCGTAATTACCAGCCCCCCCTCCCCCTCCCCCACCCGCCCTCCCACCGACGCTTGCCATCCACCCACCGAATTGGTTCGCGCGACATCGAAATTAACCCACCCACCCACCCCATCCCCGCTCACCCCTTTCCCACCGACGCTTGCCATCCACCCAGCCCCATTCCTCCCCATTGTGCGTGAGTTGGTTCACGTTAACATCGAAGCTTTCCACCCCCATCCCAACCCCACCCTGCTTCCCACCGACGCTTACCATCCACCCATCTCCTCCCCCCCGGCTCCTGCATTGTGCGTGAGTTGCTTCGCGTGAACGTCGAAGCTTACCAGCCCCCCCTTCCCCCCCCCCACGTACCGTGCGCAGATGACCGGACACCGTGCGCGGATGACCGGAAATCACGTGCGCGGAATGCCAAAATGTCACGTTGCTGATAGCGTGCGCAGATGATGGCGTTTTCCGTGCCCGGATGACCCCTCTCGTCTAGCCGGAGTCGTACGCATTTACGCAGAGCCTCCTAGCAGGATTATGAGTCCGTCCAGAAAGTGGGTTTGAGGTCCAACACTGGTTTCCATGTAATATTCTACGGCACATCGCTTTCTGGAAGTTGTTTTGTTTCATTACGCACGCCCAGAAGCAGCACAATTGAAAGCACGCGAGAGCACGACCCATCAACAACGTAGAGTGTTCCGGATTTCTGGTAGCGGGGGAACCACCTCCAACACTTCCACGGCATACGTAGGGACACTATGAATCGGCGTACACTTGGTTTGGGATAGGACTCCTGTGCACCTCACTAGACAGGAACTGGGCAAGCAAAGCCATAGAAACCAACTTCTGGACGATCAGGGCCTGCTGATTTCAAGATTGAGACTCAAGGCATTCACTTCGACGGCGAAACTTCGATCAGATGTCAGTTGAACAAGGGTAGGGTTTTTGTAGCCCTGTTTCGGTGTTTCTGTGGTCAGGAGTGCTTTTCGGGGTGGTTTGGGTGTTTTGGGGGTCTGCCCGGTGTTTCAGGTGTTCCCGGTGTTTTTGGTCTGACGGGGGGCTTCAGCCCATGAAAATTCGAAAGTCAGCTCTGACCCGAGCGGCAGGGGAATGCGAGCTCGTCCAGTGATGGGTGGCATTTTCATCGGCCTTTTGACTCAGAGCCCCTTGGCCCGGGAAAGGCTGCAGCATGTGGCGTTATCATCCCCACCTAGGGTCCGACAATGCGGGGGACGTCTAAAATTTGCATTTTCAGCCCTCCCTACCCAGGGGTTAAAATATAGCTTGGCACCTGGCGCCCACCAGCGTCCACAATGTAATCTTACCTTCGTCTCCAGAAGAACATGTAATCTTGCATGTTCAGGTGGCAAACCCCCGAAAATGCAAATTACATTTCCAGACGACCCCCCCTTAACGGGGTGGGGATGTTTTACACAAACGCACCCTTTGTGTTGCGTGATGGTCATGCGCCGGAGATGTTTGGCGAATGCTCTGTATACTGTATGTTCATGCAACATATATTTTTGGGGGGGCTTTGATGTCATCATGATCCACTTGAGTGGGTCTCGGCGCGAGTGAACTCAGAGCAGGAAAGCAGGACCTTCCGCGGGCACATGGAGCTTGGAGTGCGACAGTTAAGTTATATATTGTGCAACAAGTGGACACAGATGCCATCTCCACACGAAACCCCAGCTCTCCCTGCGCCTGAGGTGAGGAGGTTGTGGTTGTTTGAACCTGAGAAGTGAGCACAGCGAGCGCTGCCTTCGCCAAAGCTCAGTCCAGACCCTCGAAACGCAGCCCTTTGAGATGCGCCGCGAAATCGATACACGTGAGCAGCGCCAAAAGAGCTCATTGGCCATTTCAGTAGATGGTTCCACCTGACTTTACGGGTGTACAGTAAGGCTGGTATGAACCTTATGAACCTTTATAACAATGTTAGTAGAGCCAAATGTCATTCGGTGTTGGGCGCAGCTCATGTGGAACTCATAGCCGGCATGTCGTGCTGTGTTGGCAAGTGGTTCTGCGAATCTAGTGTGGGACGGCCTTTGGTGAAAAGGCTTATACTGTGCCGCGGGCAACGAGTTCTGATTGATTTCACGCGTGCCCGTTGCCGCGTCCCCAGAATGCAGGAAGTCCAAGCGCTTGGCAGGCCTTGTCCACTTCGCTGCAATGGGACACCGAGGCCAGGGCACACGCCAGGGCAACATGGCCTTAAAGTCAAGTTTTATGATCCTGATCATGTTGATCTGATGTCAGGAAGCCCTGACGATGCGTTGCTACAATGTCAACAGCAAACGCAGGCCACCGTAATTAAAATGGCTGCAGAAACATGTAGAAGCACCCAGAACTGAAGGGTGTGGCAAGAAAACTGGCTGCGCATAAATTGGCCAGGAGAAAATAGGGGGTTGTTTGCTTTATCGTGGTGATGGCTGAGTCTGTGTGTTCGCACCACCCGCATGCAATGTGTTCGTTTATAAGCAGTCTTGAAAGAACCTCATGCCACATACTGGCATTGCTGATGTGACGTATCAATGGCAGCTTTTGGATGGATATGTATCATTATCATCTCACTTGGCTTTTTGTGTCGCTGTGCGTATCATATGTTGTTCGCTTCGTCATGTCATCATGATAGCATTAAGATGTGCGATACCATACCCGCAGGAGTGACGATGTGCGCCAGAGCCAAAGGGGATGAGGGAGGGGCCAAGTTTGGGACTTCAACTTGTTGGAGTCTGATCATTCGGGTGTATCTGTTTTTCGGGCCCCAAACAAGTCGTTGTGTTTTCCTTTGAAACCAGGAAGAGGATGCCCTCAAAAACACACAGACAGACACACGGACAGGAACCAATCCGCTGGACTTGTTTGACCATGTCAAGATAAGCAACTCCAAAATGATGGTTGTCCTGTGCACCACGCATGTCATGTTGTATTGCAGGATCCAGTTCAGGCCATTGGTGGGTCCGCGCGTTCTGCCTCGGTCTTGGTGTAAATGGAGAGTTGTTTGCGGTTGAAACATGGTTTGAAGAGTTTACGACTATGGACTCTGAACAGCAGACATCATGCATTAACTCATAGGGTTTTGCTTGTTCTAGTGCTGGCGAATCATGGGTGTTGTGCTGTTTCCGCATCAGTGTGACATTCGTCTAGCGGCCCCCTTCTTCAATTAGATTTCTGGCTGAGGTGTTCATAGTTCTGCTTCGGTTGTTGTGGTAAAATGTTTGCAGCGGCAGGCCCATGTCGTGAAGCGTGTAATAAGGTAATTAGAAACTGTAGCGTTGCCTGTGTCGTGACAGAAAGGGTCATGGTCCAAGTGGAAAGAAAAATAAGCAACACCTATGCTCGTTCAAGCACTGGTTGGAAGACCTCTCGTCAACGATCGCATCAAATCTCTCCAACACGATGTTCAAGTCAGTCAGCCGATGATTCCCTCCTGATTGCCAAACCATTTCAGCCACCTTGTGGGCCATTTTGATGTTTGCTTGATGAAACCAGGGTTGCACTTGCTACACGTGACCAAGGTATATTCTGAGCCCAGGCTACTTGCCACGAGTCGAAAGAACTCCATCCAATCCCATGTGGCAAAGAGGGTGGTGTTTACACAGGCTGAACAGGGAACATGAATCGGGGCACGTTTGTCTTCCGAGGTCACCGGCCGGCTCGATGGACTCTGATGGAGTTTGGATGTAAGTCGGTTTGCCCGGCATGGCCAAAGGCCAAGGATTTCCAATTTGGGGCCAACTTCATATTGGGATTGTCTTGAGCCGTCAACTAGGATTGCAAAAAGGCCCAGGACAATTCTGGTGAAATTGGAGCCCAGTAGCCAAATAGCCCAGATGCCTGGAAAATGGCCATATTGCTTCTGAGGTGCATCTAAGACGTCTACGGAGTATGAACAAAGCTCCGGCATGTGCCTCCAACTGGTAAGATTTGGGTGTCAAAAAGTAAGAACCCCTAAAATGGTGGTTCCCCCTTTGGTTTGACTTTAAACCCATCAGAAAAGGATCCCCTCAAGAAAGGACACACCCATTTGTCCAAGTACTTGTGTTGGTTGGCCGAACTGCCTGTGCCATCTGATTGCTTATCTGCCGCTCTGGCTCCGGAGTCTCTCGTGCGGGCGAAGGGCGTCTTGGCAAGCATTTCGCACTCCAACATTGACCATGGGTAAAAATTCGTACCCCCAGTGAACATCCCAATCCCCACTAAAATAGACTAAAATGGGTGTTGCACCTACCCCAAAATGATACCAGTGGTTTTGACCCACAGCCATTGAGTGTTGGCTTGCAAGGGCTTGACCCCATTCGGGTCATGTTTGTTTATATTATATTGAGTACTGTGTATGTATACATATATATATATATATATTATGTTGTTTAATGTTTGTTTTGTCTTGCTTTCTTTTTGGATTAAACACACATGGTATGCACATGTCACTCATTGCTGGAGCTGTGGAAGCCGCTGGGCTCCCATGGGTTGCTTTTTTCCACCTCAACGCATTGGTTGCCTGGGCTCACTCCCTGAATTCTGTTTCGGACTTTTACAATTTTAGTGGAAACCAACAAATCAACACGTCCAGACGGTTTTTGGCCAATCCGCTCAGAAAGTGTGAGTGGGCTTCCTTTAGAGGTGACGTTTAAGGATGACATATTGGGAAGAAGCGCTGTGCAGCCAGGGCGGTTTTTCTGATTCCCTAAGGCCGTGGCATGTGAGGGCGGGAAGGCAGGAGCACAAGACGTGTGTGTGTGTGTGTGTTTGTGTTTGTGTTTGTGTTTGTGTTTGTGTTTGTGTTTGTGTTTGTGTTTGTGTTTGTGTTTGTGTTTGTGTTTGTGTGTTTGTTTTGTTGATGCTCGGTACACGTTCTGGGGTTGGTTTGAAGGGAAATCAGAGGAAAACCACCTTCCTTGAAAGCCTCCCCTCCTGTTGGGGCACATTCGGATGTGTTGTTTTTTGGCCGGGGGGGGGACCCCTTTGAGGGTTTTAAGGGACACTCACTAAGACGCTTGTTCCCCTTTTTGCGCCCTACATTTCCCGCTTAAGCCAGTTTGAATATCACTTTTTGGACCAATTGTAAATGAAGTTCCTAGTGGGGTGAGGTTCAAGGGGAGGAAAGTGGGATCCCTGGTTTGAGGATAGAACGAGTTGCCCATTCAGTGTCTCTCCGTGCAATCCTCTGCAAAAAGGCAAGCAGCCCGGATGCTTGCAAACCCAGAGACAAGGCCATGCCTGTTGCTTCAGCGAGAGCAGATGTGGATGTCAAAATTAGAGGCCATTGTTGGGGCACTGTCAACATGGGGCCGTAGACAACTCGCCCATGTGGTTGAACCAATTTGTTATTCGGAGAAGAAGCAAAGCCAAAAGCCTACCCCTACATCATAGGTGAAATCGCATGTTTTACCCTCGCCTTTTGGGTAGAATGGTGGAATCGCTTGATATACCCACCAAATTTCTTGTCTTGGTGGAATCGCGGGAATTCCGAAATCGGCAGATTCTGGTTCTTTCCTGAGCCGACAGAATGCGATTTTTTGCCGATCGCCAGGTCAAGATGGCCTTGGCACTGGATGGCTTCGATGCACCCAAGCTGGTTTATGTGTGGTTTCTCTCTTTTTTGAGGAACCCCTGAACATGTTGGGTTGACGTTCGGGGTTTGCTCGGACTTTCATGCTGCCCCGCGCATGCCGATCCTCAGCGTGTTTGCCGCTGTCGAGGTTGGGTGGGTGGGTGGGTGCGTGGGTGGGTGGGTGGGTGGGTGGGTGGGTGGGTGGGGGGATGGAAAGAACACGGGTCTATGTCTCAATCATGTCAAGGCCCGTCCGCCTGAAAAAAATCGATCCCGAACCCCCAGCCCCGGCATGCGACTTCTACGTTACTTGTGCGCTCTACGCGACTGGAGCTCCAACTCATGTCATGTGCTTATCTGACATGTCGCCTGCCACTTTGACGCCGATGGTTTTAGATATGTACGAGGGCCTGGGTTGAAGGAGCTACCCTGGTCTTTGTCTCTGATGCACTCTTGTCACTGTCCTTGCCTCAAGCAGGAAAGGAAGGGCTGCCAGCAAGTTATTGGCGCAGTTCATGAATGAGAATGACTTCTCTGTATATACATAGGCAGCCCGGCCTGGACAGCTGCATCAAAGCATTGGTGGCATTCCCAAATGTCACTGACAGAATCAAGCTGCAGTCCTGCTTTGAAAACACAGGCTGCCTGCGCACCAGCCCTGCTTCGAGCAAATGAAAGTGCTGCTGCCAGCACCGCGTACTGGAATCTGAGATTCGCACACGCGAAGTTGGACATTTGCAGACTTTCCAGTCATCCCACCGAAGCCGCGATTTACCGCTATCTGCATAGAACTTGCACAGTTCCCAACCCACGTCAAAGAGTGACCGTCATTCGATCTGGGCAACCCCACCCCCCCCAGCAACCCAACATGTTGGATGGGCGGCAGAAAGGCATGCGAGGGTGCTGTGGAAATGCCTGTGACACAGCCATAGGAGCTTGGGTCAGAGGATCCATGCTTTGCACAAAAAGGCAGTCACGCGTTTGTGCACTTGAAAGGGACCCATTTCTTACCCCCACCTTCGGTGCCCCAGGCAGACAGCCTCTTCAACCTGCCCTGCATGGGGTGCGCCAGGACTTTGCGTCAGCATGTCTGCAAATTGACAAGTGCGGCTTGTCGTATGTGTCTGTCTCCAAATTGGGGAGCCTCAAAATGGGTGGTGTCCTTTTGATTCCCCTTTATACCAAGCCCAAAAGCAGTACCCTCAAAAAATGAACGCCCATATTTCCCTTTCTGCTGGAGGTAAAGACTACCTTTTGGTTGCCAAATTGAATTGAGTTTCTTTTTGGTGGGGTGATGCTTAAATCGGAGATATAGGGATCCCTGTGGAGACCAAGGAAATGGCTCTACAAATTGTGGTTTCTTCGGTTTCATGTCAATCCGGGCGGGATATGGGCATGTCATGGGCGCAATCATGTCACAGGAAGGTTGCAGGTGCCTCGCAAGCGGACACGGAATTCATAGCTCCCGTGAGAAACATGGGGGTGATGTTGGGATGCATGGTGCAAAGCTTGGATATAGCTTATGGATTTCTTGTACGCGACTTTGCATGATTGGCATTCTGCCGTTTGGCTCAATTTAGGGCTTGTTGACCTAAGTGGGCAAACTGTTTGTACTTGCCTCCTGGCTGCACAGTGAGGTAGCTCCACTCTGAAGTCAAAATGGGTTGTTCACAATATGTTCTTAGTCCTTGTGCCAACCAGAGTGGATTCATTTGTCGTAGTGGTGTCCCAGCACGGATTGCAGACCAGGATGGGGGGATCTCACCCAGTCTGAACAACCCAGTTAAGTGTCATGGTGTGCTGCATGTGCGTGTGCATATGCGGTTGTTCGTGAATCTCACGTTGGAGCCAGACTGCCAAAAGGCGTAAACACAACCCATATTTGTCACGCGCCTTTTCTTTTCGAGTATGACGATGGCATGTTTGTACCAAAGCACTAGTGATGCTGGGGGTCTCGTGATGCCCTAGACAAATATGGTGCCATTTGCCTTTAACAAGTGCAAGAACATCGCATCTACGAAAGCACTGGCCCCTGTTCTTCGAAACATCACTAGCATATTGGACGATTCGAAACATGTCGTCTTTTCATTTTCGCATCCCCAGCATCACCACCAAGGTTTGGCGTCAATTCAACATGCCCAGCATCACCTTCAATGCCGAATATTTCAGCCAGGCTTACTCCACCAATTATAAGAACGATCGGACAAATTAGGTGATAGTTGATAGAAACTTATGATTTGATAATCAGTGCAGCATCATTTCGCGGGTCGGTGGATTCATTTGTGTCGCGTTGGTCAGCAAAACTCACCGGAGTTTGGCCTGGCGCGGCTCTGAACTTGTGTGTCGCTTGTCCGAGTTAGCCGCCGGGAAAAAAAAGATCTAGTTCTAAAAAGAACATAAAAGCCAGTAGAATAAGAAATGCTTCCCGTAGTTTGGCTTGAAGGGCAACCAAAAGCTCGGAAAACAATGCCCCCTTTTGAAACGAGGCAAGAAGCGCTTCTGGCCCCGGCAGTCAACGCCATGGCCGAGGCGAGGGTGTGAGGCTACCCTGCAGAGGAAGAAAAATAATCCGACTCCGAATCACTTGAGGAAGCCAACACGAAACCGACCACTTTTTGTTTGTGTCCTGCTGAGACAACCCCCTCCCCTTAGGATGGACACTTGAGGCCTATTTTGCTTCCACACCTTCTTTCAGGGTATTGGCTTTTAGGCAACATAGACTCCAAGTGTTCATGGCACCCCCCTTTTCTTGTGAATCCAGGTTGACCAATCCGTGGTCGACATTCAACTTGATGGATTCACCGCTTGAAGCCAGGCGTGGCAGATGAATGATCTGCTGTTTGCACGGGAGCCGATGAAGGCAGGATGCAGCAGCAAAAGAGGCCTTCCCCTTTTTTGCAAGAAACCCTTCTACAATCCATGAAAGGCTCCCGGAGCTCGTTTGTTCCCCTGCAATATCTTGCACTATTTGGGGCCGGCATTTGTCTCTTGGCTCCAACCAATTTGGCATTGCGCATCATGGGTCCATGTCGATTGACGAAGCTGTCGCATTTCATCGCATGGCCTTCCCATGCGGGTTTTTCAGAATAGGAATCGGACCCCCCGCCCATGTTTTGGGCTGGTTTCCCAAGCCATCCCAAACGGGGAACCCGAAAGGGAGTACCCCCCCACCAATTCACATGGAACCTGACGTTCGGAAGTCCCTTCAAAAAGGAGAATCGTCCAAACCAGGGTCCCCCGAACGTCAGGTTCCATCTGCAAAGGGTGGGAGGGCAACCCCCCCCCCCAACAAAATGCAAATCAAGTCCACTCGTTTCGCGCGACGCATCGCAGGTCCCGGTGCCCGCGGTTGCGGTACCCGGCCCACCACCTGGCCTGGAAGCGTTTCTGGCCTCCAAGGACCCATAGGGAATCGGCTCACACGTGTTGTTTGAGTCGAAGTGGGGAACCTCCGCCACGCTTCTGGTTTTCCCGGTGTCCTTGTAAGCCCAAAAAGCGGAAATGAGGTAGACATTTGGCAGAAGCTTCCACTAGCTTTGTTACAGATAGCTTGTGGCGTGTGCAGCTGGAAACAAAGTCGAACAAGTGACATGGATATGGGTGTGGGTCAAAATTAAGCCACCAGGGGACTCAGGGGACCGCAGGTTTCAGGCTTTGATTCCATTTACCAGGGTTCCATTTTGGGTACCTATTTTTGACCCACAGCCATATAGCTGCTGGCTGGTCAAATGCAAACCCCGCTGTTTCGCGACTTGGCTAGGCAATACCGAGCGATCGAAATGTTTAGCATTTATGCTTGTGGACTGACCTAATTCACTCCATCAACATGTTGGAATCCGTGACACGGGCCGAAGATTGACGAGGGACAAGTTGAGCAAGCAGCTGTAAATTGACTCCGTCACATGTACTAGCATGTATTCCATGCGCCTCCGACAACCTCCAACGTCGTTTGTTGGCAGCCACTGCAAGGGTTCAATTGACCCATGGCACCTCGAAATCATGTTTTGAGGCCTCAGAGCAGACTCCTTGTAGACCAAGGTCTCCAGGCGCAATGACTTCCCGCTTGAAGATCTCGTTAGTGTTTCTTTTCGAGCCGAAAGGGCAACAGAAGCCAAAAAACCAGCTATTGGGCTATTGACTAAGGGCTGCTGACTTCCTGACTTCCCCACAGGACGAGAGCGTCATGGACGATGACATCTCTACCCAAGTCCGCGATGATGGAAGCCGAGCTGGTAGCCGAGCTCCTCGCAAGACATCTTTGTCTGAGTTGATCATGTTCACCCTTGTTTGAAAATAAGCTCAGGTGACATCCCCAACAGCATGCGGTGTTCTTTTTAGTGGTGGAACCCTCGTGGAACCTTGGTGGAACCCTTGTGGAACCTTACCTCAGGGCCGCCCAGGACCACCCCGGAGCCTATCTGGGCTGAGACCCCAAAGCTTTCAGCTGTTGGGGAAAAAAACAAAGGGACTGCCGCCATTTGGGCTCCTATTTGGGCACATGCCCATGCCTTCTTGCAAAAGGAGGCGTTGCTCCAATGCAACAAACACTTCACACGTCTTCGTTGGTTGGACTTTAAGTTTGCGGGAAGACCAGTCAGTGGCAAACACAAACATCGGACTTTGGCCAGACTCCTGAGTGAGCTTTTGAGTCATTTGAACGTGGCTTACGGATTCTGGGGGAATCCAGCGAACACCCAGAAAGGCTTGGGTCAAAATAGGAATGGGCCCCCAACGGTTTGTGTCCTTTTGCTTTTCTTTTGAATACCACAGGGACCACCATTGTCCCTTTGTGTCAAAAAAGGGAGACCCCGAAAAAACTGTGGTTTCGTTTGAGCTTCCCTTAAACCACATGAGTTGGATCCTAGCTTTGCATCTGAGGCCTCTAGCGATGTAGGCGGCACAGGCTCTTTCAGCGAGTGCAAGCTACCTGGCGGCGTCTCAAAGTGAAGGCCTCCCAAAGCAGGTTTGGGGTGTTCCCTGAGATTTCCCCAGAAACCACCACCCCAAAACAGGATTCCGAGCCTCAAAAGCCGACCCCCACTCCACTTACTCCACTTAGTAGGTTGTAAGAGTGGAAACCAGGAATGTGCGGGGGAGGGGGAGTTTCAACAATATAAGAAAACTATAGCTTGGAGCACGATTGCTTTCCCTTCTCTCTCCTCTCTCTCTCTCTCGCTTGTCACTCTCTTTCTTACTCACTCACTCACTCACTCACTCACTCACTCACTCACTCACTCACTCACTCACTCACTCACTCACTCACTCACTCACTCACTCACTCACTCACTCACTCACTCACTCACTCACTCACTCACTCACTCACTCACTCACTCACTCACTCACTCACTCACTCACTCACTCACTCACTCACTCACTCACTCACTCACTCACTCACTCACTCACTCACTCACTCACTCACTCACTCACTCACTCACTCACTCACTCACTCACTCACTCACTCACTCACTCTCTCTTCGCTCTTTCTCTCTCTCTTCCTCTCTCTCGCTCTCTCTTCTCACTCTTTCTCTCTTCGCTCTTTCTTCCTCTCTCTCCCTCCCCCCTTTTCTCTCTATTCTCTCTTTCTTATTTCTCTCTCTCTCTCTCTCTTCTCACTCTTTCTCTCTTCGCTCTTTGTCTCTCTCTCTCTCTCTCTCTCTTCGCTCTTTCTCTCTTCCTTTTTCTCTCTAGTCTCTCTTTTTTATTTCTCTCTTTTTTTTGTCACTCTTTCTCTCTTCGCTCTTTGTCTCTCTCTCTCTCTCTCTCTCTCTCTCTCTCTCTCTTCGCTTTCTCTCTTCGCTCTTTCTCTCTTTTCTCTCTCTCTCTCTCTTTTCTCTCTCTTTTCTCTCTCTCTCTCTCTATCTCTTCTCACTGTTTCTTTCTTTCTTTCTTTCTCTCTCTCTCTCTTCTCTCTTTCTTTCTCTCTCTCTCTCTCTTCCTTTTTCTCTCTATTCTCTTTTTTGTATTTCTCTCTCTCTCTCTCTTCTCACTCTTTCTCTCTTCGCTCTTTCTCTCTCTCTCTCTCTTCGCTCTTTCTCTCTTCATGTTTATCTCTTTTCTCTTTTTTTTGTTTCTCTCTCTCTCTCTCTCTCTGTTTCCACTTTTTCTTTCTCTCTCTCTCTCTCTCTCTTTCTCGCTTTCTCTTTCTCTCTCTCTCTCTCTTCTCACTCGTTCTTTATTTCTTTCTCTCTCTCTCTCTATCCCTCTCTCGCTCTCTCTCTCTCTCTCTTCGCTCTTTCTCTCTCGCTCTCTCTTCCTCTTTCTCTCTGTTCTCTCTGTTCTCTCTCTCTGTCTCCCTCTCTTTCTCTCTCTTCTCACTCTTTCTCTGTCTCTCTCTCTCTCTTTGCCTCCCTCTCTCTCTCTTTCTCTCTTTATTTTCTCTCTTCTCCCTTTTTTGATGTGTTCTCTCTCTCTCTCTAACGTTCGCTCTCTCTCTCGCTCAATATCTCTTTGCTTTCCGTTTTCTCTTTCTCTCTCGCTCTCGCTTTCTCTCTTTCTCTCTCCCTCTCTCTTTCTTTCTTTTTTTCTCATTGCTATTATTGTCATATGTGTCTTCCTCTGTGTTTCCTCTTTTTCCTTTCTTTTTGTTTGTCGTTATCTTTCTCTTTGTTCTTCTTTTCCATTATCTTTATCCTTCTCTTTGTCTTTAGCTTTCTCGTTCTGTCTCTCCACCTCTGTTTCGCTCTGCCGCTTTCTCTTTTCCTTTCTCCTCCTCTTTATCTTTGTCTCTCTCTCTCGCTCTCTCTCCGAGTGGAGGCAGACTGGGTGCAAAGAGAGTTGTGGGCTCCAACCTAGTGCACCTGCGCACTGCGCGGTCGTTGCAACGTGTCGCTGCATTTTAGAACGAGTCACACGCGTGTGCTCCCTGCAAAGGGTTTAGCACGGCTACGAAGCGCTTTGGCCAAGCCATTAGCTATCATTAGCTCTCGCACGAAATCGAAGTGACTCGGCCCGGGCTTTGCGCGGGACTTGTGCAGAACCAGCTTGTTTGGTAAACACCGCGCTGTGTTTTTCTTCGGGCTGTACAAGCGTGGCTTACGACGGAAAGTGGTCCCAAGTGTTGCGCGAGACAAAAACGAGTTGGCCTTGACTGTCTTTGGCGCAACTTGATTGGACTGGCCCCTTCCGTGCTCCAGCCCTGATCTCCAAGGTCCATGCGGTGGTGCAGCGAATTTGAAGGGTCGAAAACAAGTTGCACATGCAACTGTGAGTTTCGCCCAGATGCAGGTAGCCGTGCACCCATCTGAGAATTTGGGTGTTGTACAGCATAGGTTTGCGGCAACAGTCGTATGAAGACGGTCGCTTGGCACTTGATCGAAACAGCTTGGGACAATGATTTTGACGGCGGGATACTGATTTTTCAGCTCATGTATCATGCCTCATATACCATACACCATTTATCACAACATTTATCACATACCATATATCGTAGCCCACGTCATAGCATGTCATACCATACCACGCCATACGATTTCGGGGAGAGAACAAATTTTGGATACAGACGCTGAGGTTCCTTCTGGAAGACCTGCAAGAGTTCCGTCCCTCGGCTCGAGGATAGGACACATGAGCGGCGGTTTTTTTGCCCGCAAGCTAATTTAGTGGGGAGAGGGACATTATTATTGAAAATGTGCGCCGCGTCACACGCGCGGAAGCATGCGGAAGGCTCGCGGAAGGGATTTGTTCGCGGAAGGTTTGCGGAAGCTTGGTGGCTGATATACAACTAAATGTTTCACTGCGTGCATGGAAAAGCTCGGAGAAACAATTCCAGTAGAAGAAAAGGTGTTGCCGCATGCAAGAAACGTAACGCTTACTCGAAGAGCAGATGCCAACAGCAAGCCAAGAAGGCCAAAACAGCCGGCGTACTTCGCGGAAGGTTTGCGGAAGCTTCGCGGAAGCTCCGCGGAAGGGTGGCCCCGTGTTTGCAAGCAAGCGGCCACGGAGCCCAAGCCTACACAAGCTGCGGAACACTACCTCACTTAAAATGACATTTGTTTCTGCGCCAATGCTCGCGGAAGCAAAACTTGTAAACCATGCCCCGCGGAAGGTTTGCGGAAGCAAACAATGAAACACATGTGCCGCGGAAGTTCGCGGAAGGGACCTCTTGGCCCGCGGGAAGGATGCGGAAGGGTCCGCGGAAGCTTGAATAATGTCCAAGCAAGTTTGTAGGGAATAAAAACCAACGCTCACATGGCCCAGCCCAAGTGGGATCCCTAGCAACCCTAGCAATCCCCGAGTCCGGAACGAGAAGTCAGGAGCCGCACCGGAAATAACCACAACTTGACCAGCTGATTCGTGGCTTTTCTCGGTAAATCATATGGTTTTGGGATGCATCCTTTGAGATGTGTGGCTCACAGGTATGTTGCTGCTCGGCCGCGTGAATTCAGCGATCACTGCTCTATCAAAAGCTGACAAGGCTGGATTTGGGTTGCCGAAATTGAGGCACCCCAAAAATGGTGTGGTTTTCCTCAATTTAAAATAACTCCGAAAGGGCACCAAAAAAGAAGAAGTGCCAGTTTGACCGGTAAGGCTGTGCAAGCATGCCTGTGTGCGCAAGCCTCGTCGGAGAGCTTCTGGCTGGCTGGTGATGTTGGGAATAATGTTGTTGGTGGTGATCATGATGATGTGGTGGTGTTGGTGGTGATGGTGATGATGTTGAATGGTCAGAATACTTGTTCTTAGCTTGAAGTGCTAGTGATGGATGTCGTGTTGTTGAAACAGCGATCAAGTCCCACTTGCTGGTTTTACTTACAAGCAAAGCAGATACATAAGGATATGGGTGGCTTTGGGTCAATTTCACAGTATCACGCTCACAGAGTCTGATCTTTTAAGGGACCCTTGTTACGGCATTGCATCCAACCTGACCTGGAATCAAGATGCGCCATGGTCAAAGCACCCTGACAATCGGCGTTGACAGGGACGATCATAGATGCCCAGGGAATGTAGCCACGCGTTGAAATACCTGGAGTCTCCATGACCCTTAAAATGGGGTCATTACCCAAAATAATGGGGTCGTTGACCAGTTTTTAAGGGTCATGGAGACTCCAGGTAGTTTCTAAAAATGGAACAATGAGCATGACTCGCCAAGCTTGATCGCACCCAAACTCGTACCCTCCCCAAACATGGGACCCACTGTGTCCCTTTCCGCACAATTTGCCCAACCTGAATCCGTTTCCATGCACCTTAAGCTCATGGTTCTCCCAAATTGGCATCTCTCCTGAAGCAACCCGTGGGTTTCCTTCGGGTTTCCGTCCATGTCCCTTGGTTTCCTTTAAAGTTTCCTTTGGTTTCGCCTTGAAGCAAGCCATACCCCAATGCAAAATCCGATGAGCCAGGACCTCGCTGTGGCTGTGGGGCATCTTCCACCACAGATCGAGGAGTATCGATTGCTTTTGGGCCGTATTTTGAGCAAGTCAAGTTCCGCATGAATAGCCATGCATGTGCGTGTGTCTTTGAGGCAGGGCACCCTTTTGGTAATTTCAGAGCGAAAACAAAAGGAGTACCTATTTGGGGGTTCCATGTCCTATTTTGATGCACACACCTGTATGGCGTAGTCCCCGTGTGCCTGCGACACGCCAGGAATTGGTGAACGTTGCTAGGGAAGTTGCCAGTGAGCTCACGTCCGCCTGCCAGAACGTGCCTTACTGCAGTTACTGCAATTCAGGCGTCAAATGAGCCACAATCAAAGCCCGGGTAGATGAAGGTTAGTAAGAGACAATCCCAACCATAAATAGCTGCGGCCGCCCTCTTGATTCTTTACATGGTTCTGGGTCGACCATTTTAATACCGGGTTTTGATTGTGACTCAAGTGGGGACCCCCTAACTGGTGGTTTCCAACTTGGGTTTCCCTCTCCAACTTGGCAAGGGAACCCGCAAAAATCGTTTTGTCTTCTTTCAGGCCGTAAACTTAACAAGCAGAGACTTTGTGGCGTTTACAGCTTCCCAGTTGCCCATTGGGAGATGACTTTCTCTTTCAAATCAACAAACGAAAGACAGCTTCTGAAATCAAACAAGGAGAACATAAAGCAGAAAAGGGCAAAATGCAACCGGCAACATCTTAGCCCGTGTTGCCCATGGAAAAGTTGTCTGCTTTGCGTTTGCATTGCCCTTGAGTTACTCACGCGCAATGCGCAGGCTGCCACGGTGAGGTGATTAGGTGGAGCACTGCGGGTGAGGGTTTTTGAGACCCGATACCCTTTTTGCTCGCTCGAAGCCACACATAATGCGACCATTTGGGGATCCCCCTATTTCGAAAAGAACCCATGTACAGATGAGTCCCAGGTCATAGCTTGTTCAGTTGTTCTCAGCAAAAAACGCCTGATGTGTTTCCTTCAGCTTACACTCTGGTTTGTTTGTGCTGTATGTTGTTGCATGAAGCTTTGACAACAAATGCTGCAGAGAGAACGCCATGAGGCATTTGTTTGCAGCCCACCACAGGTATTCCCTCTTGCAAAGCTCGGCTTGCATTGGAACTCGCGAACTTGCCTCAAAGCAATGGCAAAGTCCTCGAAGGAGTTGGTTTTGAGGGTCAAGTCAATGGTCCGAAACGGAGCGAGAGCTGTCGCATAGCCCAAGGAGATGCTGATTGTATCTGGATATGGGGCGCTTGGCCGCTGAGATGCACGAAGGATCCAATTTCACTCGTGTTTAGCCGCAGCTACCAGACCCAAGAGCCCCTGTTTGGCCATTTTAGTCGGCGGTTCTCCCTGGTTTAGACCCACGTAAACCTTTACAGTGCATTGGTAAACAACAGGTCGATACTTTGGTGCATGTTGCTTGGGGACTTTGACATTTTGCCAACTAACGGGTTTTCCAATTAAACCACTAAGAGTTAGGCTTTTAGCAGGGGAGCAGAAAGCAACCGAGGATAGGTGTTGTGCCTTTGCTCAACCGGCAATCGCCAGGTTTAGCTAGTGTTTGAAACATGCAACGCCTCCACACCTGTACAAATGCTTTGAGATCCTGGCAAGTCGGCCGCGTGGCGAATGCAACCGTCGCGTGACTTGCCCAAGTTGAGTGACCAGCAGTTGTCATCTATTGAAGTCAATCAAACCGAAAGGCGAGCACCAGAACTGCAGGGGCTGATGCTTCCAAAGTCTTCGCTTGGTGTGATTGGCCCATGGACTATCGCGTTGCTTGCTTTGTTTCCCATCTCTCTTTGGTAGCCGGGACCGTCACTCGCAACAAGGGAACCCGCAAGATGGCAGCAATGTGTTCTCAACGATGCTGGAACGCTGTGTCTCCAAGGACATTCTGAGCCTGGCAGAATCCTATGCATGGAGCTTAGCAGCGCAAACATGTTCTTTGCTTTCTGGCAAGGACTTGGGAGATATCAATCTCAGAGCTACTCTTGACAGCCCATAGGGAGACTTGAGGTGAGGCGCTGGCAGTTCTCAGCAGCTTGAGGACTGGTGGGCATTTGGGCTACTGGGCGGCTGAGATTCAACGCAGGGTTCACATTCTTCCTTGTCTCAGTTGTTCAGTGGCACCCTTTTTCCCCTTTTGTTGGTGGCTGCCCCACCAAAAATGGTCTTCCCCAAAAAGGGTTCCCTTTTTTCCAGGGTCACTGAACAACTGAGTTGTGGTTGCAAACTTCAATCACATTTTGGGCGAAATACCATGGGAACCCCGAGCGATGCGATCTGAGATGTCAAACCCATTGCCGCGGAAGTCTGGAGCAGAGCAACTTGTGTCCAGGCTGGTCAGGCACTGGCACACAGCCTTACCCTCCTGCCCACGTTGCCAGGGAACCCACCAGAGGGTCCCCTTTAGAAGGAACACGGTCTTCCAGTACCCCGAAACGGCAGGTTCCATGTTAGTGGCCGGGAGGGTACAGTGCTGCTTCCAGGAAGCGAGCCCGCAAAGTACGTGCTGAGTACTTGGCGATCCTGGAGTGTATTCGTCAGCTGGATGCATTTCAGTCATGTCAGCTTGCGAAAAGGGCTTGTTGGAGCTGTTCCAAGCGTTCAGCGTGGCTCTCCAAGTGCCATGGCCGTTGAACCAAGGCAAGTCAACCCCGAGAGCTTTGGCCTTTTGATTCTTCAATGAAACTAGGTGTTGATTACGTATGACTCAAGTGGTCCCTTTTTCGCCCGTGGAATGTCCCGTGCCATGAATGCTTCAGCCTGACACGTGGCTCTCTTGCGGCATACCTTAAGTTAGACCAATATTGGCGTTTTGGACCTGGCCGTGCGGGTGTTTCACGTGGCTTTGTCTTGAATTACGGAACCCCAAACATGGTGGATTTCATTCTCGGTTTCCCATGAAAATGATAAGGCGTTTCCCGAAAAAACAACAGCCTTATGTAGCCACTGCGCATTGTTTCACTGCTGCGACTGCACCGGGCTGTGGGAGCCTGCACTACACTGCTTTGCTTTCCGTTAAACTTCCCTTGTGTTGACTACGGTTATTTGCATGTGCAACCCGTATGACACCCGTATTTTGTCCAACCAAATGGACAAAATATCACGTCCCATATGATGGTGTTGCGCGTCAGGCTATGTGGCGCTGTGCAATGAGTCTTGGCGAGCAATGGCACAACCTCTATATATATATATATATATGAGGATCGACCAAAACCCCCTATGGAATTTTTGTAAGCACTGAATACGAAAGCATATTCGGTGTTGCGGCGCTGTGGTCGCGGAAGCCCGCGGAAGGGCGAGCGGAAGTTTCGCGGAAGGTTATGTGTTATCATGGGATGAAGCTTTACTCTTGTACTACACGAGTACTGAAAAGTTGTGCTGCTTGAGCTGGGACAGCTCATACTCTGCTAGTACTTAAAAGCTGCGATGTTTCAGCTGGGCTGTCAAAGTCGATGTGTGCTTCATGTGTTGATTTGTACTGAGATGAAAACGATACCCCGAGCGATACCTGCGCAATTCCGAAACGATACCGCGGAGTGCCTGGGGCCAACTGAGCTACCCAGTCTGGCATCATATTCGGCGGTCCTTCTGATTCCCGCGGCAGAGTTTGTAGGAAAGCGCGAAAAAAATCGCGGTCCGAAATTTGTTTTTCGTTCCGGCATTACAGTCGGAGCTCCAAACGATACCCAAAACGATGCCAAAACGAAACCCATACAATTGCAGCTGTCGCCTTGCGCCGGGGCTGGCCCACCCGTCTCTTGTTTTAGCGTGAAATGTCGCTTGTGTCTGTTTCCCAGTGCTGCTGCTCATTCTCTCTCCCGGGGACGCCGCAGTTGTAGCAGCGTGCTAGTGCTCAAAACGATACCCAAAACGATACCAAAACGAAGCCCCCGCAACTGTGCGCCGGGAGTGGCTAGTCTCTTTACGTAGCGTAGCCTGTCGCTTGTTGCCACGTTCCCCCTTCCTTTTCTTTCTCCGGCCTTCTCCTTCCTTTTGCTCGTTCTGCTCTTCGTCCCATCCTCGCTCCATTCCTAGTCTACTTCTTGCTTTCTGCACTAGCTCTTCCTCTTGGCTTGCTTTACTTTTACTTTACGGAAACTTACTTATGTTCAGACACGTATCAGAACGTGTGGTTTTACCTCCATCGCGGAAGTTCGCGGAAGGGCGAGGCGGAAGACGATTTCTGGAGCAAGGAATATTGGACAACCCTCATATATATATATATATATTTTCTGGCTGGTTTTGAGCGCAGCTTGGCCCTTTTCAAGTGAGTTTCCTTTAGATCTTGGATAGGGGAGGCAAAGGGCAAGACATTGACCTATGTTGCCGGCTCGGATGGCGTTTCATGCTTCATGCATTGGATATATAGGTTCTCGAAATACAGGCCCACAGGACCCTGGATGGGCAACTTCTCCAGTTGGTGGTTCATCCCAGTGGTGCAAATTAGATTGCATGTAAAGGTTTCCAGAGGCCTTGTTTACAACTTGTGTTAAACCAGGTGGTAGACCCCGAAAAATGGCCCAAAAGGGGGTCGGGCACTCAAGTGTGTGTTTTCTCAAAAATTGGGTACTCATGAACTCGGCCCCTGCTTTTTGCCCTTGCAACATTTTTTGTTGAAAAGCAAAGGTGAAATTCCCACATCGTTGTCCTTTTCGCTTAAACGGTGACCGCAAAAAGCGCTTCAAACGAAGGCCAGACCCAAGCGCTGCGTCAGGAAGCCGTTTGGGCCGACACCTTTGAAGGGACGCCGGACTACCGCCAGGCGAGGCCTGTGAGATGGCACAGCCCAATTGCAGCGACGCCTTTTTGGTGTTCCCTCAGACAGCTGAAAGCAACAGGGGATAGAAGGTTTCTCTTCAGATAGCTGAAAGCTATAGGGGATCTAAATTCTACGGAAGGCAAAGTGATTTGCGAGATTGACGGCTGGGTGCTAGGGTGGCGTACATTTTGGGGTGCTGGTGCAGGTGCTGATTGAGGTGCCGGTGATGGTGCGGGCGCATTCTTGCGGGTTGGACGGCCGGGTGCTAGGGAGCATGCAGGTGACGGTGCGGGCGCACTTTTGCAGTATTGGCGGTAGGGTGCTACGGGGCATTCAGTCTGGGGTGCTGGTGCAGGTCCTTTTTGGGCTGCTGTTTGGGGGGTGCTGTTTGAGGTGCTGGTGATGGTGCGGGCGGATTTTGCCAGATTGATGCCTGGGTGCTCTGGGATTCGGGGTGAAGTCCAAAACGGGGGCTCCCTGATTTTAAGACAAACCCATAGAATCCTTCATGTAAAAGACGTCGCCTTCGTTTTTTTGGGGGTGCTCACGCTGTTCGGACTCCAATACATATGAATTGTACCAACCTTTGCAGTGGTAGCTCATACATGTTCGCGGGGTCATGGACAGTATATTTTGCAGGTCACATAGTCAGGGGTCTCTCAGCGACAGGAAAGAAGGGAAACAGAGAAGAGATAAGAGGACAGGCCTTTCCAGCGAAGAGATGAGCGGTGGTGAGACTCATGTTCATTCCCTTTCACTCACCTGTCTCGCTCGTTATCTCCACTCGTCTCCCCACATTTATCCTTTCCACGCCTAGCATTGCTGACTGCCAAGGAATGCAGGGAAATGAAAGGATATGAAAGGGAAAGGTGGCCATCTCTCACTCACCTAACCTCCTCCCACGACTGGAAAGCAAAAGGTGTGGGAAAAGAGGTGAGTGGGGCGGCCTCTTGTCTTTATCTTAGTGGCCGCGAGTGACTCAAGGAGGAATTGGATCCCAAAAAAATATTACACAAAGGAACCCTTTCTTGCAAATATGAATATATGTATATATATATATATATGTATATAAGCAAATTACACCAGCATAGACCCCAGATAGCGAAACACGCGCCAACGATTGCACGCCAGCACCTTAAACACTCAAACACCACTGCCTGAAAGGCACCTCAACCAACATCTCAAGAAGTATCCCAAAACAGCACCTGCACAAGAATTGCCAAATTGCATGCCCCATAGCACCCTGCCCTCAATGTCGCAAAACACACACCTGGGCGTCACCAGGCCCCGAAAATAGCACCTGCACCAGCACCAGCTCCTCCAAAACAACACACCAGCACCCCAAACTGCATGCCCCCCTAGCACCCTGCGATCAATCTAACAAAAGTTCGCCCGCACCATCCCTTTGTTTCATTAATCAACGGGGCTCCCTCAAAGCAAGACACCGAAGACACTAATTTGCCAAGCTATTTTAGCCGAAAACATTTGTCAAATGGAAACAACTCAAAATCGTGAGCCACATAATTTTGAGCCAAACCCAGGCAGGGTTCGATTTTTTGATTAAGGTAGAGTTAAACCTATGTGTTATTTCCCCAAAAGGAGAATGCCTGGGCTTAACTTTGCCTTGGTAGTCCAAAAACAAGGCCTAGTATCCTTCTGCGAGATTCCAAAAAGCGGGATCCCGTACCTTCTATCTCAGCGTCCCTCTGATTCGTGGTTCGGTTTGGTGGTTTGGAGGTTGGTGTTTCCACTTCAAAAGATCCGCAAAATCACAGCCGATGTCTTATCGCACCTGGCCCAGTTGATAATTAAGCGTCGGGTGTCCGATCCAATGCAACCATGGTGTCTCCTCCAAACCGACTTTATATGGGTACAACCACGGAGAGCCCTTTTTTCTCATTTTCCCCCAGAAAACTTGGGCCAATCCAAGGCCACTCCCGAACCAGTCCATTTTTCCCAGCGGAGCCTCTCACACAGAAGCCCTCCGCGGCCATCGGCCGCGAAGCCTTCCGAGCCGCGAGGCGGAGCCGCGGTCGTTGGACCTCTGGGCCCTGGAGTCCTTCTCGGGGCTGCGGGCCGTGAGCGAGGCCACGGGCTCCGAGCTGCTGGAGCTGAGCCGGGAGCTCGGACGAGGATCTCCGGGCCTTCTTGGGAACATGGCAAGGGTCAGAAGAAGAACTTGTTCAGAGGCGTTTTGGTGCGGCATGTATGGAAATTCGGGTAAGGGAAGGAAACGAATAGGAGCTGGATTAAACTGAGAGGCGAACAGTGCGGTGTGTTTGTGAGGATCTCCTTTGGGCAAAAAGCAAGAGGAAAAGCACCATTTTGTGGCTTGAACTTTGAATGGGACCCCCGTGGGCAGAAGATAGCTTTTGCAGGACTCTTTTTATTTATTTATTTTTATTCTGGGGTTCCCAGTACCCTTTGGGGTGGGCTGAACGGGAAAGGGCCCCGATATATAAAAAGACACACATGTGATGCTTGCGTCGAATGAGAGATGGAATGACCCAGCACCATCCCTTTCTAAAAGCTTGTGGATCGAGATCCCCTTTGAGTGAAAATTCCGCGTCCCGTTTGATTCAGGGTTGTTTCTGACTGAAAACCGGGGTCCCCGTGGATAAGGGGAAACCAAAAAGAAATTCAAGCGCCAAGGAAATCAATGAGATTCAAAGTGAAACCCCGGACGTGCCGGATGTGCCGGAAAGCCAAGGCAAGGTTCCTGGACATGGGCGAATTGGTTCTGAACGAATCGGGTTCTAGGTTTACACAGGACAAACATGCGCTATGGCATCCCCGGCTCTGAAAGTTCAACAGTGAACCACCCAGTGAGGAGATGAATCCCAAAAGAATGATGTCCACCCTTTACATCTTGATGAAGCCATGGGGTCAAGTGTCTTGTTTTGGGTCACCCCCCTTTGGGTGGGTGAAAAAAAGGGGAAACAACAGGAACGCCACAATTTATTCATTTTGTTGGAGGGGGTTCCCTATTTTGAGAACGCCCAAAGCCTTTTGTTTGGGAAGGAGGGGGGGTAGATTTTATGAATGGCCTTGAAATTAAGGCTTGGAAACACCCGCAACATGGATGGTGGACATAAATCCCCCATGAAACCACCAAGGATTGAGGGAACTGTAAACAGCGTCGCATGGATTTTGCTTGACTTCGCGGACTTGCAGCATGTTACATGTAACCAAGGCCGCACGTGCTCAATAAGTTGGTTTGTCTTTATAAGAAGAAACACATCTAAAGCGCAAAATCTTCCGCAACTCTATGTTGAGTTGAAATTGCCCCCTCCTACACTGCTATGTTGGTTTCACATGTTTTTTCTCTTACTGGCTGCAATATGATTATTTGTAGTCGGTCCAAAACTGCAGGTGCATTCCATTGAATTGATTACAGACTCTGTTTTTCATCCAGAGCTGGCCATATCTCGGCCTTAGGTCTGGGCCATTTGCGTGCGGCAACTGAAGCTTGGGCGGCAGAGTGGCACAAGGATGGCTTTACCCCTCGGCATGCACCATCCAGTGTGCGGACGAAGAACTCTTGGCATTGGATGTGTGAATGTGTATGTGTACGGTGTATGTGTGTGTGTGTGTGCTTGCGTGTCTCTGTGTCAGTGTGTGTCAAGAAGTGAACTGCCCGTAGATGCAAGGGTTGGTGCCCGGACTTCAGGGCAGATTCGGTGCGTGTTGAAATTTGGAGTGTCAGGTGAATGGCTAGGCTGACATTGAGTGCCAGTAATGCCTATCAGCCATTGATGGCATGGCATTGGTTGCTTGGAGTTCAGTCAAGGTTTTGGAGTGCCGGGATAGGAAACACCCTTGACTGAACTCCAAGCAAGAACCCTCAGCAACCTGCCCGGCCGCACTGGTACCTTGCGGTGCCTGGCCGCTGCCGTTTCTTGTTGTTTTTCCTCAGCGCGAGCACAAAACGTCAAAAACAAATGTTTTCTTCACGTGGCATCACGGAAGCGACCCTTCCCACACCCCAAAATTCGTGGACGGCACACCTCTAATTGTGCGAAACCGCATTTGTCAGTGCACGCAGCTGGAAAACCTCCAAATGCCAAGTGTTTCGATGTGTAAACAAGTCGGGGCGAACAAGTTCCTGCGGCCTGTCATGGCCTTTGCCATTATGGCAACGTCATTTCTGCCCGCATAAGCCAAATTTCACCTTTGTTGTAGTTTTATACGATTATCATGCTAACAGGAAAGGGCTGCATAGTCCCTTTCAGCAATGTATGATTCTCCCAGTTGTACCATACGTGTGCACGGCATGTTGAGTGTTGCAGCATAATCAATCTTTGTGGTGCCAGCGCCAAATCTGCCTCGTGGTGCTGGGGCAACAGTCTCGTGTCCTAGGTGCGCCGGTGCCAACAAGACATGCACCAGCCCTTGTTCAGCTTTCCAGTTTGCTTGGTCCGGAGTGCTGAGGACCTTATGGAGGAATGCACAGACTTCTGGATCATGCTGCTTGCATGCAGAAATGCAGCACCCAAATTCATAGGTGTCCCAATAAATGTCACAGGGTTTTAATGTTAATTGCCATAACATCCTAATACCGGTAAAGTCCGGTAGGGTCGGAGGGGGGAAAAACGTTTCGCCGATATAAGAACTTGCATTTGGAGTGTTAGTTTCCCCTTCTCTCTCTCTCTCTCTCTTGCTCTTTCTGTCTCTTTGTCTCTCCCTATCTCTTCTTTATTATCTCTCTCTTTCTTTCTCTCCCACTGTCTCGCTCTCGTTTTCTGTTTCCATTCCTCTTCCTCTTCCTCTTTCTCTTTCTCTTTATTCTTGCATATTTTGATTATTTCTTGATTTCTTTCTTTCTTTCTTTCTTTCTTTCTTTATTTCTTTCTTTCTTTGTTTCTTTCTTTTCGATTCTGTTTCTTCGTTTTCTCCCGCGGAGAAATCCCATCCCATCGCTTTTGCTGAGGACTGTTCCCAAAAATATGTCAGAGCGCACCCCTATGACCCTGACCTGTCTCAAGAGCACAAGAGACTTTGCTTTCACCTTCACTCTTGGTTTGAGCAACGCGCACATTTTTTGCTATGTTCTATTCTAGGGATATGGTGTAATAGAGAATGTAATCGGGGCGGCGGGGTCTGTCCGGGCTCTAAGACTCGCTTCGGGTTGCAACGTGCTGGGCCTTTTCTAGGCTGCACAATACAGAGCTCCAACTTCCCGAGATCAAGGAGGCTCGTTGCAACCAGCCACAGCCAAGTGGATGTGCTTTTGTTTGTTGACTTCCACTTGCTGAACTGTGTTTATTTTCCCCCTTTGGTTTTAAAGGGAATCTATCACTACTGGAAATACTTTCATTTTTTCCAGGGTTGAATCAAGTAACCCTTTTGGGTGTATCAATCTAAGCCACTGGAGAAGAACCGCCGGTTTGGAGCATTGTTGCAGATCTGCAAATTGCAACACTCGACGGTTTCGAGCACGCCTTTGCCTTACATTGCGCTTTCATTGTTTCCATGCCAGGGAAAGGTTGCGCCAAAGAAACAGGCTGGGGGCTTCAGGTTTCGAGGGGAAGGGAAGGATACATTTTGTCATAGGAATCCTGAGTTTGAACACACTGAAGCGGACCAGCTGCTTAGGTGAGTTGTAAATGCCTTGAAATCAAAGACAGGACAGCGTTTCAGGAAGAATCTTCTCAGAGGCAAGAGGATACCTGGAAGCATGATGAGAATCATGAACTCGCCATAAACGCGCGGCCTATCTCAGCTCTCAACCAAACCCTCGCGCCAGGCCAAGAAATGAAAAGCCAAGGAGCTCGCTCTGAAAATACCCCGAATTCAGTGGCGCTCGCACCTATTCATGCTTGGGAAGAGGATAGGGGTGTTCCAAAGAAAGACACATCCATATTAATCCTATAAGATCTAGTCGGAGGAACCCCCTATTGCTCATTTCCTAAGGGACCCCCCTGATTCGTAGGGTCCTCCTTTCGGACAGTCAAAGCGTCAGCTTTCAAAGGCCGAGCACCGAGCCTCTTGGCCCATGTGTTTAAAGTACGGATCTCGGTAGCCGCACCGTGTCACTTGTTGCCGTGGACAAAGTCCGCTTCGCACCAGGTAGGTGGTTTCGCCCATCCCCACAGGTGCAGGATTTTGCCCATCCACAGTGGTGTATGTGATGTATGGGTGTCCTGAGAAAAGCAGTGTTTCATCACAGCTAAACTTGGATGTGACACAGACGGCGATTGTCTGACTGGGCGCGCTTTGGTGAAGCGTCCATGAGAGATTTCATCCAAACCACCTTTCAACAGCTTGCAAGAGGAAAGCACTCTGTGATGTCATAAAACAAATGCCATCAACCATGTCCGCCTGTTAGTGTCGAACTCCCTACTTCGAAAGCAGTAATTTACATTCTTACGATGCAAACCAAAGGTGGGCAAGGCTCTCATTGCCCTGCAGAGCTGACGGGTTCACGAAGCACGGCGTTGGTTGCTTTGAGAGCAACTTGCGTGCTTGTACCACTGGCTGATCACGTGGCACAGTTTCAGCTCCAGACTCTTTCGTGAGAAGTCCTTGTGGACTGCCGCTAAAAAAGCATGTACTTGGAGTACTTGAGCTGCTCTGGCGCTGAAGGTTTGCTGAAGTGCTGGATTTAGGGGTGTGGTTTCCAGGCCTGCCTAACGGGCGTTGGGGAACAGCCCACATTCAGCCAGCTTCATTTCAATCAGCCGACTGAGATGGCTATGTCGATAAAAGCATTGAGAGCCCGAGTTGGCTGGGCTTGGCCCCGATGCAAGCCTTAGGATGCGCACCAAAAGCGTTGCAGTCGAAAGTTGCTTACCAAGTGGGGCAAGCCACTGCAATTGTTTGATGCCAAAGCGGAGTTGGCAGGATCTGTCACTTCCTCTTTGCCAGTTTGAATTCCGTAAGTAAGGCAAGGCAGCTGGCAGTCTGGCAGTGGGCGCGCACCTGGCAGTGGGTTTAGGGTTTAGTTTGGCTCCCGAAATCAAAGGCAAACAAAGGCGCAGCATTGCCTCATTTGAGTCACAATCACAACCCGGATAATCCGAGGGAAGTAAGGGACAATCCCAGCCATAAATGGTTGCGGCCGCCTTTTTAATTCGATACTGTACATGGTTCTGGGTTCACCATTTTTGGTACCAGGTTTTCATTATGTCTTGTTTGATGGGGGAATCTCTGCAACGATATAACAGGGCCTATTGACAATCCATTTTGGCACCTCCAAAACATGCCGCCAGATGTGGTGTGCGCATGTTGTTGACATGTGTATGAGTTGCTGTCGCCCAGCTTTCCGCTTCAACCAGGTAGAATCTTTCTAGCGATGCGCTCCCTGGCCATGTGGCTCTTGCCACCTGCGAGGAAGCTGTCTTGTCTTCTTCTCCAGTCCTCCGATTTGGAAGCCGTTTGCATGCCCGGTGATCTATGAAGCCGGGTGGGCATTGCCATCGCCAATCGGGGCAGCGGCCGGAAGACAGTCCCTGAGGCCACGTCAAGCGGAGAGCATCCAGCTCTCTTTGCTTGTGGCAAGTATTATTGCCCGGCGACGCATGGCATGTCGCAGTACTTCCATGCAGCGTTAGGCTGCGCTCTTTGCAAACGATTGCCATGTTGCTGGTTTACGGTTTTCTTTGCGTTTTTTTGTTTGCTGTCCCAGGTCTTCAGTTGTTATAGGCGTGTCTTAAAATGGGAGACCCCAAACAAGAATCGGTTTCCTTTTTCGAGTTCCTCAACTATTTCAAAAAGGTTACCCTCCAAAAAAAAGACAACAATAACGTACTACATCAGATGATCTTCAGGCGCGGATAAGAGAACGCAAAACTTTTAAGTGCAGCCCTCGGTGTAGCCATGGGGCGAGTACCAGCTGAGACAGGAGAGACTTGCCCCCAGAAAACGCATTGGCTCGCCAGGAAAAGTCCACGGTTGGATTTGTGTGGAGTTGGCGCCCCTCTCACATTGGCTTTAGCGGAAAACCAAAAGCCACACTTGGGGTCCCCTCATTTGGACATTGCATATGCATCGAACGGTGCGGCTTTTTGTTGGTTTGGGTTCCAATTGGCAACATCAATGGCAAGACCAGTTGGTCTAACTCCAATATATACGTAGTACCGCCTTCCCAGTGCCGCAACAGATTTCTGCACTCAACTTGCTGGTTCGATCCCCAACTTCCGGCTTGCGTCGCATGCCCCTATCTTTTAGGAAGTCGCAATCATGGCTGGTGGTAATTATGGATGTTTCTCAAACAGAATGGGACCCCTCCAAATGGGTGGGGTTCCTTTGGTTTGCTTTAAAAAAAGCAGCAGAGAAGAGGTCTCCCCATTTAAACACATGCCAGGGGCTGAACTATTACTGACACATCTTCCTGTTGCTGTGCCGGTTTGAGGGTAGCCCAGACCCCCGTTCTAATTGTTTTTGGCCTCTGGGGGGGACTCCCTTTTGTCCCACTCAAAAAAGGGGGCCTACAAGAACCAGCAACCCCGAGCCATATCAGCAGATAACATATTGTAGCACCCATATGGGTGTGTGTTCCTTTGAGGGTACACCTTTGGTACCCTACATGGGAACCCCTGAGAAAAGAGAGGCCCACTCCCCTTGCAAGGTACAACTTGGAGGATCTGCTGGCCTTGCCCTCGCCAGCTGCAACCTCCGAAGCGGAGGCGTGCGACGCGAAAGCCGAGATCGCCAACAACGGCTCAACTAGGACACACCCAGACAAAGAGAGAGATCTAATATATATATATATAATTATATATGCACATGTGGGAGTCGTTCTAAAGGTCCTTGTAAGCAGTTTAGTGTTCGGTGACCGTTGGTGTTGGTTGAGGTACCTTCGCGAAAGATTGGCAATGGAGTTGCGAAAGTAATTTGTTTCGCACAAGCTTTTGCGTAACTGTATTTTGTAAATCAGTGACACGAGAAAGCAGTGTGTTTTTCTGTGTTCAGCCTTTCTTTAAGTGTTCAGCTAAAGCGCAGGCTTCGAATTCAAGGGGAGGGAGGTATTTCTGAGCGCCGCGGTAGTCATTGTACTTTCTTGGTACTGAAAAGATGCGACTTTGAGCTGGAGCTGAGGAAGTGCATTTCGTGCATTCGCTTGGTTCTGAACAGAATAGTTACGACTTACCAACTAAAACTACGAAAGTACATCTCCGGTACTAACACTACAAAGTTACGACCTTCCAGCCGGAGCTGCGGACGTGCATTTCATGTACTGTGGCGATGAACCGCGAAAGATTCGTGCGACAGTGTTACAGTAACTTTGTTCGCGGAGAATGGCCGCTTCGAGAAAAAGGAATTTAGAACAACCACCATGTATATGTATTATTGATATATATATATATACATACATAATATGTATATATGTAATGTCTTTGGCATTCCTGTAATTGAGGGTCCCAAAACGCAGTTTCTTCCTGTTGATTCTGTTTAAGACCGCAACAGTAGCCTAAACAGGACCTCCTTGTCAAATAGGATTCTGGTTCAAGTTGGGTTAGAATTTAATTCGGGCAGGCACCAAGTGCAGTATCCATCTTCATCTAGAATTTAAATGTCCTTCCCAAGTACGATGTCGATTCTCTTTAATGTCCATAGCATTTCGCAAGGAAAGAAGGTCTTGTTGTTTATTCGAACTGTCCTGCCCCTGGTTCTAAGTAAACCATATTTGTACCACTCACTCCCTGGGTTCCTGGACTTCATATTTTTTGGAAAAGACCATCTTAGTGGCAAATGAACAGTTCAGACTTGTTTGTCAATCTACTCAAGGAGTTCTGACTCAGGTGAGCTTGACAACTCAGTTGTCCAAGAACGTGACACTCAATGCGCCGCTGGTGGCTGCGCCCATGGACTCTGTCACAGAGGTCTCTTGACCTCAAACGTGCGAGTTCTATGCAAGCAGGTTAGATCTTTAACCTTTAAGGTTGTGAGAAACTTGCAAGTCTTTTCGGAAGGGCGGGGGGGAGAAGTACGAGCTATCAAGGGAGCAACAGGGAACCAACATCCAGCACAAAGCCCGCCTTTGTTCCCTTGTTTTCACGAAGCCAAGCAAATCCTGAGGTTTGCAGAGGAGTTCCTCCGGTTTGGCTTGTGTGCCACAAAGTTTGCGGAAGAGAAATAGCTTGTGGTATCGCGAGGTGGGCATTGCTCACTTCGATCTTTCGGCCACGTAGGTTACAAGCGCGGCAAGGGAACAAACCCCAAGACCCCAAAGTGGAAACATCTAAGCAGTTGGTTCAGCCATCGCCACGGAGTGTGCCTTTGAGTACCGTGGATGCCCTACATGCCATGGCTGGACTTGGATTTCCTTTGTTCCCTTGCAACATTCGGGCATCCACCGTTGCCGCAGACTTTGATTGGGCAAGATCTTTTTTTGTTGCTGGTCACAGGAAAAGTCTACGCATTTTCAGGGGGGCCATGGCTGATTTTTTCTCGGCAACTGGCAGCCATGCAGCCCAATGTCGTGTGTTAAGTTGCTCACCAGCTGAGGCACGAATGGCTATTGCTTGCGCCCTCATGGGAGGTATCGGCGGCAGCCCCAGAATCTTCGAGCCAGATCTAAGTCTCGAGTTGGCTGGTTCGCATACGCCGCAGCGGATATTGTGTTTTGCTAGGGAGAAAAGTATGTTCTAGCGAGCCTTTCGTCGCAGATCTGGTTGGCTGGTCAGTTGCCTGACGGGCTGGGTTTGTTGATTCTGCGCAGGGTTCTGGCTGGTTTGGGGTGCAGTCAGGGTGGAGCTTTCGTTGATATTCAAATCAAGGATGTGGAGCTCGTTTGGTAATGGAACCGCAAGCAATGGAGCCAGCCCAAATCCGCCAGCCACAACCACAGCGACAACAACAACGACAACGGCAACAACTCTTCATTGGCAGCCAGAAAGCGGATCG